GAATAAAACGTTTTGTTTCAGGAATTTCCATATCATTTAAATGTGAATGCCACATTATAATGCAAATGCAATACACAAAGAATCTTATCCCCGGGAGATTTGAATTGGGTACAACATTGAGTTAGCCGAATAGGTCTATACTCGGCTCCACTAGCAACGGACAGGTTACTAATGAAACTTGGAAATGCAGCAGCGTTCTGTCATCCTGATGGAATTCCCCGAATTTTGATGATCAGGACTGGCCTTTTGCAAGAGTGATTGCAAAACATGGTGCCGAACCCTGGAGAAAAATACGTGGCATAGCAGAGACGGCTAAGTGGATATGGGGAGACACCAACAGCAACACTTCTTATTGCTGACTGTCACTACAGTAAAAAACTAGTACGTTTGAGTTTAATCATGTCGGTAGAGGTCAAGAGATCGTTGCTTCAAGCTCATTTATTTATAATTTGCATCATTAGTCTTTCGCATAGCAAATAAGGTGGCCCTTCTTTTGATGCCTTAAAGGAGCCAGGGGCACCCAGCGACTGTTTTCTGTAAAATATCTGTTCGGAGAAGCAAAAATTCCTAACATTTTCTATAGCTTGAAGAAGGCTAAAAATTTCTAGATGACCGTTCCATTTATATGTACAATTTTCGTAGTATATCTATTAAATTCCCTATACGATTTTCTAATGAGTTTAATTTCGCATTTTAGTCCGCAAGTAAGGTTATTTTTCGTCGAAAAAGGAGACCTAAAATTTTCGGATTTGAAAATGCGATGGAGAGGAGAATCAGAAAAATTCTCGTTTCGGTAAAACTTAAAATTGCGTCTAAAATTTTCGGGAAAATGATACCGAAGCCCTTGTAATTTCGAAAAGACTCAAAGTTGCCCTAGGACGACCGAACCAGATACAAGTTTTATAGCGCCGCTTAGAATCCATTTCTGGAGATCTAAAAGTACTCTGGATAGCCTAAAAGTGTTTTCAGTACATTTAGGAGGAAACCGTTGTTGGGTGCCCCTGAAGAGCTGTGTCAAAATTCAAGCAGTTGGAAACCTGCCACCAAATTGAGTAAAACATGAAATGGCCGCTCAAAACGTCAAAAGGAGGTATCAATAACACAGCAGAAAACGAACAAGGATTGCAATTGTCAATTCTGAAAACTTTTAGCCTAAGTTAATTTTTTCATTAATTTGTTGTTTGTAACGTTTGATCATCCAGGAACCGATTACCCACCACCTAATTTGACATACTGCATGTAATGCTTGGCATAAACAAGAGCTCTCATCAATCTTTACTGAATAGCTGCTTCCGATATGCCAGAAACGTCCACTCACATAACACAAGATATGCTTCAAAAGACAATCTATACGAGACTTGTTATAGAACAAACATTGGCAGACAAACAATATCTGCAACGGCAGTAGATCTCTAGCAGGAACTAACCCCTGACTTTTAACGCTTAAGTACTCCTCTGTTTTTTAAAAAAGGGTCAAACAACTGTACCTAAATTAAGCAAAATTCTTCTTCTGACATCTAACACCAACGAGCACCTCTTTCTTCAATTCTTTTGTGGATGATATGCTATATGCTCTTAGCTTTATGCTGTGGTCTTTTTGTTTGTTTTTCGTTTTGTTTTGTCTTTTTTTTTTTGCTTAGCCATTCTTGCTATGCTTTAGGTTATGCTCATCCATTACATTTTTATTTATTCCTTATTTTTCTGTCTTTCATGTATTTTCTCTCAATTAAGCTAAAGTTCAAATATACATGTACAGATTTTATCTCTATAGTGATAGGAAGGATTTACTCAAAGTGTTTTATTTTGAAGTCAGTACGCGTTTATTAGCTATTAGTGTTTAAATAAGAAGTGTTAAGCTGGTAATTAATGACATTTTAAAGTTTTAGCTTTCGAATGTTCGCTTAAAGTTTCATAGCTTGGCTCTTTTCGCATTAGCCATAAGATTTTTTCAAGACATTTTACTGTGTTTACAATGAGCCGCATTCAGCTGTGGCGGCTCGTGCCGCTATTTTTGAAATGCTTTGTTTTATGCTTTTTGTAATTTGCTAAATAACTCTACGTGCAAAAGCCAACAGCGGCCTATTCATAGTACAAGCAGAACAAACCTAATGAGTTTCCGTTTGTTTCATAAGTTTATATATTTAATAGTAGTAGTTCAACTTCAGTAATGATTTCTAAAATATTGGTCTTCTGAATAGTAGTGCTCTAATTTAATCTATTTTCTTAAATAGCCTCATTCTACAAAAGAGCGGCATTTCACAGTAACACCTTGTCAAGCGAATGCAGCTCGTCTTTAATTGAAGTATTTTTGAGCGATCACGTTTTTTCTCTGCAAATATAATGGTTCTTAGTTTACTTCCGTAAATAGTCGCTTCGTCTAAATTTAGGATTTCGAAAGTTTTGTTGACCTGCAAATTCGGAAAATGTCTGCTTTTGTTGAAGGTGAAAAACTAGGCAATTAGACAGTTCTGCTACATGCCCAGCAAGCCGCTAGCTAACCTTGCAATTCTATTCACATAGCAAAATTACGTGCCTAAAAGCTGCCTTGCTGACTTGGCATACTTTGCTAGTTTATTGTCCTAGTGCTTTTTACTCCTAAAATAGAATCCGCAACAATAATTTTCGCTTAACTTCAAACGAGTTTGTTTGTATATCTATTGAAGTCTTTTGTGCTGAATACCTGTAGTAATGGTATATATTAAGTAAGTTAGTTTGTAGTAACTTTCGATTGCACCGATTATATTGTCAACTACATAGATTGCTTCGAGTAGGTGTACAAGAATAAACACTGTTGGAACCAAGTCGGGTTTGTCTTATTCTCTGCTGCATTCCAGTTAGTGGTTTGAGCCCGGTCCTAGGAGTTGTGACGGCTCTTACCCGCAAGCGAGTTGCCATTTGAGTCTAGCTTCCCCAGTTTATAGAGGACAAATTCCAGAGTTCAAACCCCGAGTTCCCGTTTATCCCTTAAAGTCGTTCAAAAGTGGAAAAACCTTCCGTCACATTATGTTGAACATTAATTAGATTATCATCTATAAGGCAGTCAGTGGACTCGGTTGAACAGGGCTCGTGGGCCGGGATTTCATGGTGTACGGGATGGGAACTCGTCAGTTTAGCGTTTTAGTTACTTCCTTTTATCGACAGTCAGCTGTCTGTTCCGGCAAACTCCTCGTTTTCTTACAATATAATACGTCTATCTCTTGATCTGTCCAGTCTAATTTTCATGGCAGCCCAGTGAACGCCTTCCGGCGTCTAGTTTATACCATAGCCTCGGGATGAGGTACTTCAGGGAGACGCCTACCTTGAAGATTTTCTTTGCACTGTGTATGCCCTTTGCCTAGCCCGCCTTAAGTAACTTATACCGTTGTTAGGGCAAAAGAGCAAATTTTCATTGTGGAGCGTGTTGGATAAATAAACTGTGCGCGTGCTAGACTAATGAACTGTGCGTACTAGATTTACTAAACTCTGAGCCTGCGCAAGCTGTAAGCTGTATATAAAAAGCCGGTTACACGATTTAGCGTTGCTTCTTGTCATTTTCCTTCTCAACTCGTCTTTAGCCACAGGACCGTCGCCCAATAAGCACGCTCATGACGGCGACGGCAACGACGACGAAAACGTGACTCTAAAAAGTGAATTCGCGTCATTATTCCCCTGCCCCGCCGTCGTTGTGGGATTTGTCAAATATATAATGTTGGCAAATCTTTCTCGAGTAGGATTCTAAAGGAGTGTATCTAAGTTCAGAAAAAGAACTAGGAAATCGCTGTCATTTTCACTTCATAAAGCGTTAAATTAGGAAATTTCATGTCGTAGCCGTGCAGTGACCAGGGGCACCCAACGACAATTTTTGGAAAATATCTGTTCGGAAGACGATTTGAGATCTAGAATTTTCGGAACATTTGTTGTTAAATTTCTTGCTTGCCTGCCTCTCCTAGGATTTTCGAACCCCCCCAAAATGGTGTAATTGCCCATTTTTAACGGATTTTTACCCTAAAAAGGTCACCTAGAATTTTCGGGAGCCTTTTTTCTGGCTGAAATTTTCGAAAAGGTAAGTTTTGATCCCTATAATTTTCGGATCACCAGACTCTCAGCTAGGAAATGCGAACAGATGAAAAATTTTTAGGGGATAAAAATATGCCTATATCTACTGTTTAAATACTAAAATACGTTCAACCATGCTATGTTTAAGTGGTTTTGAACTATATTCTCGTTGGGTGCCCCTGAGTGACGGCCGGAGGCAGGGGAAATGTACAAAAAAGGGTGACACAATCGTGTTGTTTTGCTTATTTAAACCTTTTCCCTTTTTGTCGGTCTCTCTTTGGCTCGCATGGGATCCGTTTGCACTGGCCCTTCGGAAGGGGAAGGACAGGGGCGTGGGAGCCCAGGAGAATAGAGGTGGAGGGGTACGGAAGGCGAACGAGGAAAGGGCAGGAAGTGGGAGTTCTAACAGGGTGGGAAGTGGGAGAAATAGGGGAAAATTACACAACAGTGCCTAATGTCTTGCAATCGAAAAGGGACTAAAGGGATCAAGCCAAGAAAAAGGGAGTAGGAAATGCAAAACACAGGAGGCAGGAGGTTTGGACCTCGCCTTTCCCTCTCCTCTATTTCAGGGAAATCACAATTTATACCGTTGTTTTCATCGGCAGACAAGTATGATAATTCTGTGATGCTTGTTACATTGCAAAGGTTACCGTTGTGTACAATGAAGCGATAAAAAGTAGAAATTGAAGATGCTTTTTTTCTTGCGCGTCTTTGCCATTCTTGAGCTCTGAGAGGTGAAGACGAACCTTGCAAGTTATGATGACCCCGCAGGATGTACACTTGCTGAAAATCGTATTGTCACAAACATAAATCAAGATTGTCCCACATAATTAAAGGCAGGAAACTGAAGAAAGCACAGGACACCCAAAGATTAGTGTGCTGAGCACTTCAGGCCTGGGGGTATGCAGCAATTAGGTACCTTGTCCTAAGTGCTTAGAGGAATATTGGTAAATTACATCTCTTTCTTCTCAAGAGATAACTTTATTGACAAACTTGTCTTATTTACAAAGCACAGTGAAGAACATTTCCTTCATTTTGTGCACATATTTTGTACGAAATACACTTAAAAACAGTGTGGAAATAGTAAAAATATATTGATAAAAATCAATTTTCTGTAGGTCAGTAGGCTTTGTTGACAGCAGTGAGGGCTTCTTTGCATATTGGATCAAGCTTTCCATCACCACCTGAACAACAACAAAAAAAGCTGTAAACTGCAGCACTGAGTCATATCTATACAATGACCTAGCACTATAGGTACTAAAATTAGAACACTCCTAAAAGGCTGCAACCATCAGGTAACAGTATTTTGAGTTATCTCTTAACTCTAAGGTTGCTAAAACCAGTATAACCAGCCCAGAAACTCATCAAGGTGGTAAATGGCAATGCTGCGGATGAGAGTACAAGAGTACATTTCCTCTCCATACACCGTATTCACAAATGGCGGACACGCGGGAAAAAACTGGTGCCTAGTCATGAAAGCGAGGCGTTGGGGGATAAACAAAAATTGCAAATGAAGACTTTCAGTGAACTTGCAGAGTGTTTAGCACGGATTCCACCTAAAATAACTTTGTATGGGCGTCTTTTTAAATATAATTACGTGGGATGTCTTCCTGCTTTTAATGTTTAACTGATTTGCTGTTTGCAATCAAAAGGGACGCGTATATCTTCAAGGAAACAGGATGATTTTGTAGGTTTCCGAAGCATCAGAAGCTCGACAAGTGGACGGGCGATGGCTGGAGAAAAGCGGCAAACAGGTTAGCCCAAACTTCACATTGAAACCGAGTACAAAAGCCAGCTCACTGCAATTCGGTAAAACAGAAATATAAACAATGCAAATCTTGGTGGCAAGAAAAAAAGAAATAAGCGACAGATATATGGCCTACTTGACTGTTGACGCAAGAGACGTCTGCCATTGAACAAAACAGTTCAAGTCGAGATGGAAAAAAGGAAGACAGGAAAGAAGCGGTGACTGAGGTTTCGATAAAGTTATGTTTGTTTTTTTTTTACCAGTACATTATTCTTTGGTCTTCATCGATGAAGGACATCAATTAGAACTATTTTTTTAGTTTAAATACAGGAGCAATCGAGTGGAGTACGCTCAAAATTTCAACTTGTTACTCGGCAGACTCGGTAAGCCGGCCACATATCATTTCAGCAAGTAAATTTCGTATTTCTTATCTTTGGCTGTTAAGAGTTTTAACTTCATGATCCCTAATATTTTAAAAGTGAAGAATACATAAATAAATAAAATGATGGTCTTCTTAAACGGATCCAGACTCGAATTTAATGATTCGAAACAGAAGCTTGCCATGTTCAGTCCTGACACAAACATTGTCTTAAAAGTTTAACTTAGTAAAATGTGAGCTTTATACCACTTTTTTACCAAAAGCAGTCCGACATAATGCCCTAAAAGAAACCAGGCAAATAGCAAGCCATAAGATTCACACACTTCAGCTTCTAGTTTTGATAAAATTGTTTTATTTCGTAATGACAAAGAAATCAAAAGATTTTTGCTAAGCTCTGCCAACGTACCTCCAACAATTCACTCCAAAGCGACAGAATTAATATTATCCAAAGGAAGCTGTAAATACAGACATACATAGATATGTATAAAATGACGCTGACATGAATGAATGAGTCTCGTGAATGAATCTTTCACCCGCTCTCAACTTGACCTGTTTTGTATAATGGCGGAGGTCTCTTCCATTGACAAGTAGGCCATATATCCGTCGCTTATTTCTTTTTTTCTTGCCACCAATATCTGTTTTTATTTCTGTTTTACAGAACAGTAGTGAGCTGGCTTTCGTATTCGGTTTCAGTGTGAAGTCTGGGCCAACATGTTTGCCGCTTTTCTCCAGCCATCGCCCACTAAGTTGTCGAGCTTCTGAGGCTTCGGAAACCTTCAAAATCTTCCTGTTTCCTTGAAGATGTACGCGTCCCTTTTGATTGCAATCAGCATATCAGTACTAAACATTAAAAGCAGAAGACGTGACACATCATTGTATTTAAAAAGACGTCCATACAAAGTTATTTTAGGTGGAATCCGTGCTAAACACTCTGCAAGTTCACTGAAAGTCTTCATTTGCAATTTTATCCTCCAACGCCTTGCTTTCATAGGCACCAGTTTTTTCCCGCGTGTCCGCCATTTGTGAATACGGTGTATGTTGATACATTATTAACAGTAAGCTCAGACATCTGTACATTTTGCAACAAGTTATCTTCATATCGGGTCAACCAAACTAGACAAATGGAAAACTGGCGTTGATCTCTGAGAAACTTTAGACCAGTGAGGAAACCATGAGTAACTTATAGACTTACCATATTGGAGATCTTGAATCTTACAGCAATAAATTGTTTCTCCATGAACAACCAACTCTACATCATCTCTGTCTGGAGTTTTTACAAACTCTACAGTGTGACCTTCACTTCTTAGCAGTGCTGACAAAGACAAGGTAAAAACCCTTCAATGCAGAGGTCCGCTCGACGCGGAAATAAAACCAACTGGTTTTTCTTGCCAGATCTCTAACGTAGAGATGCTAATGCCAGACATCACTGGAAGTGGGAATTAAAACAAAACTGAATGCAAGGCTGGCAATAGGGCATTTTGTGGCCAATACTTCGGCTAACAAAATTAGCCTTCCTCAGGGCCAGAGCTACACTGAAAGAGAATTTAAATCTACATAAGAGGTTAATGATAAACTAAAAATGATTCCAAGAGATAGCCAAAATATTGGCCTCAAATAAGTCAGCCTTTTGCCGTATTGACAGCCTTGCATTCCGTTTTGTTTTAAAGACAAAGCCATATAGCCTTTGTTACTTTGCTGACAGACGTAAAGAGTAGACACCATCTCACACGTCATCTTATCAGCACTAGATTGCTATGTGCCCAAATTTATATGCGAGGGGCCCAGTTGGTTAGAGTTTTTGAATTTTCACTGGAAGAAGTATCGAAAATTTGCATAATAAAGTAAACATTGAAATGCATAATGCTAAATCAAAATTTTTTGAAGACAAGATTGGAGAAAGCTCTGGGTCGAATGATCCTAGGAAAACCTGGACACTTATTAATTCACAATTAGGGAGAAATAACAAATTGAATAATGTGAGCTCTCTATCGGTGAAGGGAATGAAAATGAAATATTGGACTCTAAATCTATAGCTGAAGCTTTCAATCACTATTTTATAATCATAGGACCGAAGCTTACAGCGGAATGTGGCAATGAGCAGTGCATCAATACTGAGCCTCGGGTAATTGATGATGCTAGCCAATGCCACACGCACAATTTAAATTTTCACCAGTTCTTGTCAGTAGTGTTATTTCAGCACTGAGAAACTTAAAACCATCCAAAGCAACTGGTTTGGATAAAACTCCTGCCAAAATTCTTAACTGTCTGTGAATATCATTGCACCCTCACTCACGTTCATCTTTAATCTGTCCCTCATGACGCCGGGCATATACATGGATGAATAGAAATGTGCTCCTGTAACACCTATTTTTAAATGGAGACTGACGGCAATGTAAAAACTACTGTCCCATTTCCATATTACCAATTGTGAGCAAAGCATTCGAAAAAGAGGTCTTCTGTCAGCTCTATTGCTATCTAACTGAAAACTCAATGCTGTCAAAGGAAGGCTTAAGAGTCGATTTTATCCGAGAGATTTTTGGGTTGTTCGTATGGGAGACTGGGAGATTTTGTGCTGCATCCAGGAGAGTTGCCATAAGTGTACACTGAAGAAAAAAAACGTTTTCTCTGAGTCGTTTATCTTCCCACCCCAAAAAGAAGCCGTTTTGGAACATACTTGCGAGAGAAAAAAATCATAATTCAGTGGTTACCCTGGAAAATTTTTATTTAACACCTGGTTTATGATATGCTCACTTTAAGATGACAAGTCTTTTTGAAAAGGGACAGCTTGTGAACCGAGGCGTTCCAAGCCAATGGTGCGCTTCTACAGTGCATTGTATAGTTACGATTTCGGTTGATTAAGTCTAATGGACTAAACCCGCTAAATACGCGTTACTAGTATCATCAACATTACGGTACTACTTTCATACTAAGTAACTTAGCACTTTAGCTCCCTGTAGTTTAACAGTTTTTACCTTGCAATCCTTCTAATCGAGCAGTCCGATGCTCCACTATTCCACATGACATATAAGGGCCAAACTTTACCGTAACTTTATGTTTGACCATTTTGAGGCAAAAAAATCGAAGAACTCTCGTCTGAGACTTGTTTATAGCAACGAAGCCGCCATCTTTATTACCCACAGTGCCTTTTGGGTGCTTTATTTAGAATACCGTAGAACCGGGATTCTACGGTAGCAGTTCTGATTGGTTTAGTTTTGTCCAATGAAATTATTAGTTCTCTGGTTCGCGCCATTTGAGGAAAATCTGCTCAAACCGAAGCAAAATGGAGCGCGATCGGGGTGAAGAACATTCCCTGTTTTTCTCGTCAATACCATACAGCTGAGATCTAAATGGTACCCGATTTCCTTCTGGCTGCTCAGATTTTGCAAAGGATTGGTAAGTATATTATTATTTTGCTTGAAAAAGTGAGATCTACATCGTAATGGCGCGCGCTCACTTGTCGGTTCCGCTGTTCTAGGCGCTAGGCTGCGATTTCAATCTCAAAAGTTAATCGTTTTTCTCCGTTTTGTCGTTAATCCATTATCAAATCGGTATAAAAAAGGCAAGATCTATCGCGATACCTTCTTTAACTATACATCAGCAGCTGATAACAATGAATCCTCCACAAAAGGGATCGAGCTGATCTATATGAAGGAGATCAACCCACTCGGTAAGCTTACATGAAATCGAATCGAAAGAACGCTTCGTTCGAGCGATCTTTTTCTTTGCTGTTTCCACTGGCCTGGCCGCACGTCAAACCCAGGGATCTCTTACAGAGCTTGTTAACAGGCTATATATACAACTTTTATATTGCGCGGATTGTGCACTTGGGAATTTAAAAGGGGGACATTCTATTCGTATGTACAATTTCAAAACCGCCCATCCCCCCCACCGGGGCAAACCCCGTGCATTTGACTGAAACTTTGTTACATACATTGGGGAATTTGACCTAAAATGAGGCCAGCCCAGTCAAGCATTCCACGTTTGTGTTAACGCTGGTTGTCACAAGCAAAAGGATTTCGTAATTCTTTCCGCACTTTATAGGACCATTCAGCATGTGCACCACATTCATGGGTCATTGCTCCTATATTCACTGTTTTGTTGAAGCATTTGAGAGCCTTTGAAAAAGCCCGTTCAATGTGGGCTTTCTAGAATAAACAATTTTCTTAAAATGAAAAAACGTCTGTAAGACAGCTTTCCAAGACTTCGGACATTTCGGCTGCATTTAGTAGGATATTTAAAGGGTTTGACGAATGGGAAAACTTTTGAAGAGTTCCTGGCGGGTGGGCGGTTTGACCATCTAAACTGCCAACATACTGGGGAATTTGACCAAATTTTTTCAGAAAAGTGAAACGGCCAGGAGGGGGGGGGATGGTTATGGGCGGGTTTGGAATTGACTAAGTCATTAGCCGCACCCCCACCCTGCTAAGTACAGTACATTTTGGAGAGAAGGGTTGTAACTTTTTCTCAATAGAAGCCAAAAAATTTTTGCCCCTTCTGACTTCTCATTCATGTCTCAAAGTGTGCCAACAAAAAATAAATAATGAAGATTTTTAGGGGGTGTGGGTAAAAATGGAACATCTAAAGTTAAATGGTAGTACCTATGTGTTTGGAATTGGTTGAGATTTCATAATCAATCATCAGAAATAATCGGATTGAACCAACTGATGGATCATGGACTATAATCGGAAAAATCTCCTACTGTAATAAGTTATTCCAATTCACAGGCTACCAAATAAAAATCAGTGTTTCTCAAATTATTTTCAAGAACAAAATGCGTAGTTGAGCATATAACTTGTAGTTACTTCTTGGAATTATTTTATAGGTGTTGTGTATGTTTTTTGTGAAAGTGTAAGTAAATTGGTTGTTTCCTCTACCAGTTTAAATCCAGGGCCAGCAGCAGCAAAAGCAACTTATCTTCTTCCTATATGATCTCTGCCATGGAGAGCTTTGAAGAGGAACTCTCCTCTCTATCTGAAATGTTCCCAGAGTGTGATGAGAATAAACTGAGGGGCTACCTGGAGATGTTTAAAGATGATCCTAACCACATGACATCAATAATCAACATGCTGTTAGAGAATGGAAACACAGATGGCACTCATCAGAACCAAGAACAAACTTCATCACGTGAGCGGGGTTTGAAACGAAGTGCAAGCACTGGTGAAGACAGCCTATCTAGCAAAGTTTCAAAGTGCGATTTCAGCAGAAAGAATGAGAATGAATTAACAAGTCCAACTAGAATGGCCTGCACTTCTAAAAGTTCCTCCTCTCCTGCTAAAAATCGTCAACAATCCTGGAAGCATGACTTTCTTGACCACAAAACTAGCTCTTCCATTGATGATGATGATGATATAGTTTTAGTGAAGAGTGTAGCAAGCTCTCCCAAGCCAGGTTTTTACCGCTCAAGTGGTTCTGACTCTGGTATAAGTTCTCCTCAGAAAAGTGGTGGTATCTGCATACGGTACAAGGGTGGGGCTCTTCATCCATCCATGAATAAATCAAAAAGGTCACAGATTGTGGAAATTGACTGCGATGATAGTAAAGATGGCAAATCTCGTTTATTAAGTAGCCAGTCACCCGCCAAAAGAAGTTTGAGTGCGTCTAAAGGTTTCACGTCAGCCACTGAAATATCTCAGGAAAACGATGATGATTTACCCATGTATGGTACAAGTGCTGGTGCTACACCTCACAAAAAGGATAATGCAAGTTCTTCATCACAATCCCAGGATAAAAACCAAGTTGAAGTAGTTTCATCATCTGGAAACAGTAGCCATTCATCTGTTGCAGAAGTTCTAACAGATCTTGAGATTCTCAAAAAGGTTTTTCCCGATTCTGACCATGAATATATTGATTCGCTTTTACATAAGTATGCTGATCAACCTAATAGAGTAGCTTTGGTGGGTAAAGAGCTTAGCAGTAAACCAGACTCTCAGAGTGTGAAAAAGAAAGCGATACAAACGGTGCCATGGTTTTGGCAGACTGAAGAAGGAAAGCTTGTCCCATTTACTGACTCAGAATGTAACTTTTTGGAAAAAGAGTACATTCACTGTGACACATCTCACTCTAGTACAGCATCTGTAAAGATTAGGATGCCTGGCTCGACAAAAACTTACGACCTTAACTTTGCAGGCATGACGATGACTTGTGACAAAGGTCAGAAAACTCCAATCATTCGTGCTCCACTGGGGAGTGATAACAACAAACAGATTGGGTAAGTCAAAAGCTGTGTAGTTATATAGAGGATATTACAAGGTGGCGCGAAGGTATGAATTTTATTTTTTGAGTGGCAAAACAATAATTATTTTACGAATGAGTCCAGCGAGTGGTTAAAATATTGTTTTTGCCACGAGAAAATAAAATTCATATCTTCAAGCCGCTGTGTAATGTTATTTTTATTAAGACAAAAAGACATTGATAAAATAATAGAGGGAAATTACCGAAATTACATCATTGATATTAAAACTCACGTGTGAAATTATGGAAAATAAACCACTCAGGTCCCGGATGTAGTTTTTATGAATTTTATGAGTGGTATATTTTCCAGTAAAACACTCGTGTCTATTTAATAAATGGTATTAAGGCCTCCAGGTTCAAGTTGCCGAGGATATGCTCTTTTCAGGGTGAGATGAAATTGTGCAAATGTCAGCTGGCCAAATAGATCATTTTACAGTTGTGGGCTAAGTATCCTAGCTTTGAGTGAACATGAGGTTGAGGTTGACCTTGTTTTGATACAAAACTCTTTCCTTTTCTTATGGAAATTAAGTTTAACAAAATTAATATAGTTAGCATCAGCACAACATGACTTACATAATAAAGCAGGAAGGTTGTATCAAAACAAGGTCAACTCCAGCCTCTTTTCCACCTGTAACTGTAAAATGGGCTATTGGCACATTGTTGTTTTAGTTTACCAGGCTGGAATCCGAGGAACTAGCCTATAAAAGGTTACAAACTTTGATTGTCCCCCCTGCGCCATAAACTCACTTGTTATCAGAATTTTTAACTTACCAGAATTCCTTTCTTGACAGGAAGGGTGATTTTCTGCTGGCAAGTGTAACAAAATGAGTGTAAAATGTTTTTCTGACACATCACTGGGAGCCTGGGTATAGGTCATGTGACCGAAAGGCAGGCAGATGCTTTTGTTCCATCCGCCATTACTAACCTGCCCACCCACCCACCCACTCGCCCTAAGATTTCAGTTTTGTAGGCTGTTTAAATGCAATGCATAACTTTTAAGGGGTATGTTATGTGTTTATTTTTATGAACTTGGAATAAAGGTCAGGCTGTGGCGGTTGGCTTGGCATGGTTACCAGTGGTGTGTGAGAAATACCATAAAATTCCTACAATAAGCCCCGGGGCTTATTTTTTTCAAAGGCCCTTTTTGAGGGGCTTATTTTTGGAGGGGCTTATCTAGGGAAGGAAATTTGCGTTTCGAAATTGATTGGGTTAGCCTTATAGTTGGAAGTAAATTTACCATTTTTGCTTTGTTTTACCTTGTATTTGAGGGCAATTTTCCAAGTACAGCTGCTGGGGCACTTTATATTTGAAGGGGTGATTTAACGGAGGGTTTTTGGCGTTAGGAGTTTGGGGGGCTTATATTTGGAGGGGTTTATACATGGAGGGGCTTAACGTCAGAATTTTTACGGTATTCATTATCTTCATTGTTGTTGTTGCAGTGGTAAAAATCTAGTACCACAAGAAGCACTTTCGCTGCCACCAGACTGGCAACAGCAAATTGAAAATGTTCAACTGATAAGCGTGCGTCCAGGTTCTGCCGAGTGGGACCATGTTCAGCGAAGCCTTAAAAGAAGTTTGAGGGAAGCTCAAGTCACTAATGTACAGCGTGTACAAAACAAGTGGCTGTACAGAAAGTATGCTATACAGCGGCATTTGATCAAAGACAAAAATGGTTAGTGGTTAACAGTAAAGTGGAAGCTCTCGTGACGACGACACCCTCGGAATGTGAAAAAGGTGTCCGTAACTGGAGCTGGCCGCTTAACCCTTTAAGCCCCAATATCCACATACAAATTCTCCAAACTGATCTCCATACATTTCCTTCATGAATGAGTTGAGAGAATTTGATAAAAGATCAAGGCATTTTCCCTTAGGTGATCATTTTATTAATTCTCATAATCTAATCTCTTGACATTGTATGGATATTGTTAGGAGAAAATTGACGTTAGTCACTATTGGGACTTAAAGGTTAAGAGAACGTTAAAATACAGAGTTTGTATGGGAGATGAGTGAAACAAGGTTTTGTGAAGGCGGCCATATACAGAGCTGTCTGCTTACGAGAGTGCCCATTAGAAGAGCTTCTACTGTACAATTCTGTATGTTTTGTTTGAATAATGTTATTAAATATTATCAGCGTGCAAAGAAAGTAGGATCTGATAGCCCGGGGCTTAGGTGGATTTTGCTATTGGGCTAGTGAATTCTGTTGTTCACTTTCCCGATGGGCAAGTGAGGTTTTTTGAGCAATTCGAATAACAGAACAAGTTGCAAGCAGCAGGGATCAACTTTGAAAACTTGATCAACTTTTTGAAAACTGTTCAGCCTAACAAAACTGTTAGGCTGAACAGTTTTCAAAAATCCTAATTTCAATCCATTTCAATCTTCTTCAGTTTTGCCCATCCGTGACATCTGTTGTTTCTGTTATGTTATTTTAACCTTCCTTTAAAGTTTTAAGCGGTTATTTTTATGTTTCTCTTAATTTAACGGACATTTTGTAATTTCCTAATTTGGCTGAATTTCATGACACAGCTCCTTTAAATCTCAAACCATTCCCTACTGTTTTGAAGGAATTTGAATAGTAAAGTAAGTTGTACTTTTCTTAACAGGATCCACATGCATTAATGAGAAAGAATTATTTCATGGCACCAGACATACAAATCCAGATGTCATCTGGAAAGGAGAGGATGGATTCGACATGCGGCATTCTGCAGACGGTATGTGGGGGCGTGGAACGTACTTTGCCTCTGAGGCTTCTTACTGCCATCAGGGCTTTGTTTATTACGATCCACAGAAGAAGCACTTCCAGCTATTCCTGGCCCATGTTTTAACAGGAGACAGTATTTCCTTACTCCCTAACAGGGACATAAGAATGCCACCCCCGAAGAGAGGCTCCGACATTCGTTATGACAGCATCAATGGTATTACCAGTGGTTGTACAGTGTACATTACCTACAAACTTGACATGGCATATCCAGCTTATCTTATAACTTACACTATAAGCAATTGAAAGGGGGCAGAAATAAGGCCCCGAGTGACTCCTAAAAATATGAAATTCTCTTTGTGACTTCGAAGCATGTATAAGGAAACGTAGCAGTTGAAAAATGTAGCAAGATATCAGAGTCACTTGCAGGGTTATTCTAGGCAGTTGAAGTGCTACATGGAAATGGCCCTAAGTAACTTCTTAGACAAACCCCTGCATTCTTCTTGAAAATAGACTCTTCCACAAGGTTTTTCAACTTTTGAGAAAGAGCAGCAAGTTAATATCTATCAATACTGCTGGAAAGAGTGCCTTAAAATAATGTAACTTAGCAAGTTTTAACAAACTTGCCCCCCCCAACATACAAATCAGTTCTAATCACTCCAAATTTGGCAGCTTTATTGATTTTAAGGCATTCTGTCCAGTCGCGTTGACATTTTTTCGCTAACTCGTCCCAGTCAGAAGTTGAAAAAACAATGGAAGGGTCTTAGTATATACTTGTGAAATAAGGGAGAATGATTGTTGTTTCCATTGTCGTTTTCTGTGCTGATTGTTTATGACTTGAGACCATTTAGGTCTACTTAGATCAAGAATAAAAATATTACAAACAGTAAAATTTAAATCAGAAGCTAACCAGTTAGGGAGAACAAAATGTACAGTCCATGCAATCTTGAAGTCAAAGTCTCTATTCAAATGATATCGGAATGACTTTCATTCTGGAACAAGTTCATTTCATCTCCATGTATTTCTCTGTATTTGTTTACATGATACTGAAACAAACTTTTATCCAGTGCAAGTCATTCCAGACTGAGCTCCAGATTGAAAATCGCAAATCATGCAGTCTGGGGCAAGTGGCGCACAGTGTATGTGTGTCTGATTGAAAACCACATGAGTGAGAATGCCCTTTTTGAGCCAGTCGATTTTATCATGTGAATGTTTTACGCTATCCTCTCTGGAACTAAACTAATTCCTGAATGAAATTCAATTCCGGAATAAAAGTCATTTCCAGTTTCAATTAAACAGCCCCTAACATGTCTGTCATAATTTAACTTTAAGCGTAACATAGTTAAGATAAGAACCTGCTCGATCATGCTTGGCTTAACAGGTTCTTAGTTTATGCCTATTGAAAATGGAAAATTTCTACCAGCAGGTTCTGAAACCACTAGGTTCTTACTTTTTTTTTCCTTTTTTTTTACTGTATTGCTCTCCAAAGTTGGATGGCAATGTATGAGAAAGATTTTTTCTAAGCAGATCAAAGTGGATGAAAGTGAATTTTGAAACAAATTAATGATATTTTTGTATTTGGTAGACTTTGATTAGCTAGCTTTCCTACCTATGATTGTTTGAGTTTATGTAACGATTTTTTGTTTTTAAATTCTAAATTCTGAAGTGTTAATGAATTTTATTGTTGCTCTTTTAAACCTTTTACATTTTAAAGACTGAGTAATGATAGTGTGAGTATAATCTTGACAACCTCATTCTCAGGCTCTCTCTTTAGGAGGAGTTTAAAAGAGACGGGCGTTTTTTCACATAACTGTATATAACGAACTTCTCAAGACTAATATGCTTTCTGCGAAAAGGCGAAAAAGGTAAAGGCTCACTCGAGCCAAAGGCCGAAACGGCCGCAGCTTATCCCGGTTTCCTTAACATGAATCATGTGCAGGAGTATTGCTACTTCCCCCCCGTCCCCGGGCGGGATGCTAGTCCACCGCAGACTTTCCCCCAGCAGTGTGTCGCCGGTACCCATGTATACACCAGGGTGTTTGTTTGTTTGTTTTTTTTTTTCAATCTTAACTGATGTCAGATTCCTTACCTTGAACTTGACTTTGAAAAAGACAGACTGAAAAGATGCAATGTGCAAACTCTTGTTAATGAAGCAGGAAACTTAATAGCGTGAATGATTTTGCTCTCTATATTTCGCTATTTCCTAATATTTTGAGCAATTGTAATACGGAGCGTCTATTAGTCAGGGGGCGTTTATTAGAGACGGGCGTCTAGTACAAACATGAAAGCGTAGGGGGACGTTCATTTTAGCGTCTATAAGATCATTTACGGCACCGCTGAGTTAAAGTGCATATGACACCATCTCGAGGCCTTAATGTTATATTTTCCTCCACTTTGGCTGTTTGACCAGGTAGAATCTAAAACTTGAATTCTCTGAGGACCCTTGACATAACAACTTTAGCCTCGAATTGAGCTAACGTTTTTCCAAGGCATGATCTAGGTCCCAGGAAAAATGGAAAATATACGGACTGCCTCATGGCGTCTTTGCGAGTCGGAGAAAAGCGATCTGGATCAAAATCGTCTGGAGTTTCCCAAAATTCAGGAGACTTGTGAACATTAAAACAAGACACAATCATTATTGTTTTAGCTGGTATTTTGAAACCACCGAAAATCTCTTCCTTTTGGAGAATTCTATGGGCGGAAGGAACGGGAGGATATTTTCGCAGGGCTTCCTTCAGTGTCTGGTCAAGGTATTGAAGTTGGCCAAGATCTTCATACTCAACAGCGTCACGATGACCAAGAACTTCATCCACCTCTTTCAAAATCCTGGCAAGACATTTTGACAAAATAAGTCACTGGAAAATACTAGACTCTGTATGGAATCGGTGGAGTTAATCTCGGAGGTATGAACGCTTCTTCTTATTGTTGGAAATGTTGAATCGTTCAAAGGGAGAAAAGTCTTACAGTCGGACGGCGAGAGTCAATTTTAGAGCATGGGTCGCTTTCAGGGGCGTAGCCTGCTTTTCGACTAGTTGTAGGCCTGGCAGACTTTCGTTTCCACATATCCTGAAAATTGCACTCATGACTAGTACGCACTGACCTCACCAACACTTTGAGCTCTTAAGCTTTATAGCTCACCCCAGCAACGCATAATTTTTTACAAGCGGTAGAGTCAACTGTAGCGTGATCAAACCAAAAATTTGTAGGCCCAGGCCTACAGGTCTATGGGCTGGCTACACCCCTGACTTTAGCTTTTGAGCCTAGTGGACAACAACAAAAAAGTCGAACGAAGCATCTCACTTGAAATGCGGGATTCGGTATTTTGAAAGCAATATGGGGTCGAGATTGGGGATTAAGCGAACGTTTGTGTCAGAATGATAGGATTGAAGAACCCTATTGCACAGTAATTTTCAAAGGGTTATAATAACTCTTCTAGGTTCCCTCGAATCTCAATGTTTCCCACTGCTCCGCCTCGGGAAACATTGAGATTCTCGGTTAATTTAACTCTCCTTCCCTCCTCGTTCCCCAGCATACAGACATCTATAAAATTTCGTGACTTTTTGGAGCAATACCTTTGCCTGCTTTAGACCTGTCACCTTTCGACCTTGCAAGTTTACTAATAGGCTGCTACACAGCCGTTTTTAGAGTCGTCACGCAACGCTCCTCCCCACGAGCGTTGCGTGACGACACTAAAAACGGCTGTGTAGCAGACTAGTTTACTAATAGCTATTGTATAACAATTTTGGTCTCAGATGTACCGATTTTCATCGATTTATTGGTTGACAAATCGATACCGATTTTTATCGATTGACTACTGCGGGAAGACTGGTCCCTCGGGAAACAGTTAATTTTGTTTCCCTCGAATCTCAATCTCAATGTTTCCCGAGGCGGAGCTGTGGGAAACATTGAAATTCTCGGGAAACAAAATTAACTGATTCCCTTGGGAGCAGTGTTTAATGCCACATACCTTTCTTCAATCCTTGGATTGTTCAGAACTTCGTACAGAGTAAATGAGAGCTGACTCAAGGTTGTTTCTTGCCCTATTTGAGTTTAAAATGCAATACTAATCATTACATTCAAGAAACAGACAGGAAAAAAAAAACTAAAGAAAAGCGTTTGTTTTAGAACTTTTACTTTCATAATACCACTGACATCCAACGGGGGAGGGGTTACATAAAACCGTTTGGTAAACTGAAAATGGCTTAGAACGCGGTTTTGTTAAACACTGGCTAAACTCCAATGGGCTAGTTCAATTTGCACGAAGTCTAACTTAGACCGAGGTTTAAGAAATAATTGGACCTACAGATCTCTTTCTAGGTGGATTATTGTAAAAAGATAAATGTTTCTCCGGTCTACCCTGCTGCTTCTAATAACCTTTGTTTTGATAAAAGTGCTGAGCAAAGCGAAAATGACTTACTAAGAACACGGTTTCGTAAAACACTGGCTAAACTCAAACTCCGTTTAAATATCCTTCCCCTAAGTTTTTAAACGCAATGGGCCGGTTATTTAAAGGGGTAAGGGTCGGTTATTTAAACGAAGCCTAAGTTCGGCCGCGGTTTAGCAAATCTTTGTACCTCTAGATATCTTTGTTTGTGTGTTATTGTAATAATTAAAAGTGCTTTTCCATGTTTTCGTCTTATGCTTTCATGAAACTTTTCACGATAAATGGTGTTTAGATAAAAGCGTTGGGCTAACTGAAAATGGCTTAGAACGCGGTTTTGTTTAACACTGGCTAAACTCCGTTCAAATAACAACAACAAGTCTATTCAGTATTACCATTTTGTATAGCTAAATTTAAGGAAATGAAGATATAATGGAGTGGTGTATGTAATTAATTGTTCCTTTCGTCTTTCAAATGCTTGAGAGACGAAATTAGCAGTAAGCCTGCTGATATGTGAATAAGTATTGTTAAAAAGAAAGAAAAAACTGGCGCTAGGATTCCGTTGTCAAGAGGCCTAGACATGATATAAACACGTGTCTTGAGTGTTTTGAACATTTTCAAAGACGTCCCGGGGTATTCCACTTCATAGTATTTTAGGTGATGTATTTCCCTTTTTTGACGGTTTAACTCACTCCCTGCTTGTCTAGAAAATGCCTAATCCTGTCTATTTGAACTAACTGATTAAAACAAATGGGAGTGATTGGGTTATGTGAGTATTTCAAGAAAGACTCTGGTCTATTCCGTAAACAATTAATTGCATTAGGTGATTGATGGCTGGTACAAATGATAATTATATGTCTTGCCTTTCAGAAACTAGACTTCTCACCAAAGGTGTGGGAAAAAAATTGTCGTTGGTTGTGGCAAACATCTTTTTACTTCAAGTAACTCTACAAGTATCTTTTGACGTAGATGCCGAGACCGCCTCCGGACTTGCGATCACACGGAACTTCATTCATTTTCAAGAAAAGCACTCCATATATTTGCAAGGTAGAACTCTCGACCGGTTTCTGATATGGTAATAGATATTCTCCATTTGCGCATCTACATAATGTACCTTGTTCGCCCCCCCTCCCCCCCCCCCAAAAAAAAAATTTCTTAAGCTGAGCATTGTCTTCAATTTCTCCCGGGACGACTACAATACCCAGGAGAAATTAAAGACAAAGGTTATGTAAAACTTTGAGGGAAAACAAGGTACATTATCGGAGAGGTGCAAATAACGGATGAGTGTGATGTAGAATGATAAGGTGTTTTCTCTAGATCTCAAGGACCGTATATTCAAAATGAGCTCTATGATGATGTGAATATTTGACAAAAACAAACAAACATCACAACGGAACATTAAGTTTTGTTTTCATACCTGCAATAAAAATTGTAAAGAAATTGTCCACCAAGTCATCCATTTCAATCTCCGAATTCTCCTGCGCTTCTTTGACAATGTGCTGCAATATATCATTTGGTGTCTTCTTCCCATTTCGTAAAGCCAAAACCCTCTCTTCGATGACGTTTTTGGCAAAGTAACGTAGATACTTTATAGCTTCAATGACTGAATTTTGAAAGGGAAATGCAGATATCTGGAACATCCAAAATGGATTTTGTGTATTCGCTTGCATTCCTTCCAGTGTTTTGGACACGGCGCTTGGAAATGGCGAGCCTGGATTTCGTATATTGTCGAGATTTAAGCTAAAACCAACCTGAAATGAAATATTCTTGTTGCTAAACCTTTAAGCAGTATTATTAGAAACTTATATCCACTTTTTTTCACTCCACTTTTCAAAAACTCATTAATAATTCATAAAGAAAAAACAAGAGAAATCAATGTTTAATGAGCGTTTAGGCCATCCTCTTCAAGTTTTTTCTCCGTCTAGCGACGTCCGACCGACCCAAATTTTTGTCATGTTCAAACAAAAAGAAAAAAAGTAACGACGTAGTTAAACCATTTTTCTCTTGAAATAATTCTTTTAATCTGAAAAATGAGCATAGTAACAACATAGAGAAAAACAGGAACAAAAACAGGAACATTTTTTACAGTATATTGTACATTTTGTAAATCCAAATATGTAAATGTTTACTTTTAACGTCATCCTGGGGTACCAGGGCCTCCTATTCCGAGACTTCTTGTGATCTTTTTTTTTTTAGGTTTTTTTTTTTTTCAATCCGACCGACCGACCCAATATCAGGAAACGCATTCGACGCTAAACGAAAAAAAAAAGGGGGGGATGGGGGCGGGTGGGGGGGAAGGCGTTATATCTGATAAAGACACGGCTGAGCGTTACGTCCTGGTACCGGTTCCTAGAAAGCCGAATAAACTATCCTTCAACTAGCGTCAAATCCACGATCAAATTTCTTATTCCTGGGATAACTAATCGTGGGTTAAAAAAGAGTTCCTGAAAGAGAAATAAACCCGCGATTAACTTATCCCAGCTAGTTTTTCGGATGATTGCTTTTAAAAAATATAGCGCGAAAATGTTTAGGCACGGGTGAAGTAAAGGGAAAATGGTGGAAAGTGAAGTGGTCGAGGTTGAATCAAAGGAGAAGAAGAAGAGGAAACCACATTCTTCATCTACCTAGAAATAATTGTCCCAGTTTTTAATAACATAGTTCTTATATTCAATCAGCAGTCCACAGTCCGCAGTCCATGTTTTATACTGACCAAATTTATTACATAAAGTAGTAACCACGTTGGCAACAGCTTATGTTTTCTCCTCGTCTGTCTCTTGAGGTCGTTATTGAGGACTTCTACCAAATATTTCATTGATTCTCGGCCAAACCTGTATCTTCTGAGAAGTTCTTCGTCAGTGAATTGGTCGAGACCAGAGGCATAATGCTGTCGGAACTTTTTTTCACGTATTTGTGTCAACGGTAAGTCCGCCATTTTGTTTGTTTTTACAAACTTTTTCCCCGATTAGTGAATTAATCGACCTCGCTAGGTGAGTTAAATTTTGCATTAAATCAAAATATCGACTTGGGAGAATGGGTTCAAGATTTAGGCCTGACTATATCTGGGATCTGGGATGGTTTGACTGGACAAACGAATTGACAAATGTTACTTCAACTTCGTCCCCAGGCCAGTTTGCGCCGTATCCGAGTGAGCAGAGGAAGCTTCGAACCGAGCGCAAACAGGCTACGTCGCATCCGAAAAACCGAAGACGACTGGGAACGAGGCTGAGGTTACTTATGATTGGTCTATGGTATTCAAACCAATCATATGTGACTCCGCATGTCCACTTAAACGATTCCAGAAATCGTGGCGCCTAAGGTGAGAGAATTTAATGAACGAAGAAGCATCACACGTCAAATACTCTCAGTTTAAACTCAGCCAATCAGGAAAGTCCACCAAAAGCATAAATAATCATAATTCCAACAGTTAATACCTTGCCATTTAATGTCGAGGATGACTCTTTTTAAATTCGTCCACCATCCTGACAGGCGTTTTACCATCGGCATATTTCCTCAGATTTTGCAGAAAGTCGCCACAAATCGAATTAAAAGCCTCCATCGAGTTCATTAGATACTTCCTGTGAAATCCCGGTTCTAACATTGCTCGCTTAAGACGCCAAGCGTCGTGATCGACTTCTGTCAAAATCCCCTGCCCCGCAGCTCGTTGGCCGAACACGCTGCTGACTTTGGAGTAAAGTCCTGGCTCTTTGGGCAAATTTAGTGTGATGAGGGCTTTTTTGGCCATATCAGGATCAGACAGGATAACAACGGGAATAAAGAACATCCACACAACGTAAACCGATCCGTATTGCCGATACCAGTTCATCAATATCATGGTCACGCTTCCCTTCTCTCCATCTCTCTTCATTTCTCGTCGAAAAAAAGGGACATTGCCAGTGAAAAAGCCATCTCTTGGAGGCCCTGGAATGTGCTCGTAACGCAAATGCTGATGATGGACATACAAAGCGAACGACAAAAATCCAAGGAGAAGAAAAAAAATCGGGGGTAACGTCCAGTAAATCAACGTTAGAACCATTGCAACTGAGATTTGCAGAAGATGCTTAACTCCCTAACGAAAGTAATTGAAAATCGTGTGACAAACAGATGAACAAATAAAGCTGCAATATCGTATTAGAGTGATTTTACTTGAACCGTGAAACAGATAATAGCAATTAGTGTATAAGATAGCTACAAATAAACAAAAAAAGACAATACAATTAGTGCATAATAGTGCGTAGTATTCTACTACCTATAGATGGTTTTCACAGTGACGTCATCAAATTGTAAAGTCAAAATAGCGAGGTATTACGAATTCTTATTTACGCTAGGATGAAGATAAACAAAAAGTTAATCTTTGTACAAGTTTTCAGTCCCATAGCATGTTTCATTTCGAAAATACAGCAATTTGAACTTCCGAGTTTTCAGAGTGCGTGACAGCAAAATAGGAATGCTGTCTCGTTGAAAAAAAGTCTCTCCTCTTGATTTTCAGTAGTATAACCATTTCAAGTATTAGAAGATATGTTTATGCGCACGTAGGCTAGTTCTCGAGTGAAAAGAAGGAGCTTTTATAGAACAAGTGAACTCCAGATGTTTTTGTTGATTTTCGGCGGCCATATTGGTGCACCAAAACTGTGCACCAATATGGCGTCGCCATACAGAGCTCTACAAAGATGCGTGAAACGTTTCGGCAAATAACTCAGAAACTGTGGGCCAAAAAGACCTGAGACTTGGATAAATTGTTTAAAAATTAGTCTTTTATAACATATCATTTTCTTGGCTTCTTTCACTAGTGACGGTTTTCAATTTATTTTTTTGTTGCGTGACAGTGAAAACGATATATTTCACGAGTTAAGTAAAATCACTCTAGCGCTAATAAACAAACCAACTCTAGCGATATAACCAAACACACGGACACAAAGTGGAGCTTCTTTTTATTTCTTAAACTCATTAATTTATTCATAAACGAATACAAAAGAAAATACACCTGTCCAAATTAATGCTTCAAAATGAGCGGTTGGAAATCAGTAGAAAAATTCATTATATTTCCATCGTTAATTTTCTTTTTCTAAAATCAGTTTTTTTTCGAGAAGTAATACTAAACATTCCAGGCAGTATTTCACCACAATATCAAATATCTCGGAGTTCGTCAAAAATACATCATTGTGCATCTTATTTTCAACGCTCTTGCCGGTGTTACTGTCAAACCGAACTAATGTTTCATGAGTGTTTGAAAATCAGATGAAAAACTGCTCATGCATTTTTCCATCCTTAATTTCTCCTTCTAAAATCATTTTGTTTGAGAAGTAATATCAAGCATTCGACACAGTGTTTCATCACCAGATGAAACACTGCGTCTCATGCTTGATATACTACTTGAAACCATCTAGGTCTATTTAGATCAAGAGAGTAAAAATATTACAAACAGTAAAACGACTTTCGCGCTGCCGCGGTAAAAAGAACGCCTGGTCGCATGTTAATCGGAAGTTGGCCAGTTAGGGAGAACAAAATATACAGTCCATCTTGGAAAAGTATCCAGTCATCTGAAAACTGTTATTAGGGATCGGGAGCTTAAGCAACGACCACGGCGACGGCAACTAGAACGGCAAAAACTCAATTGGTTTATAGTAGCAAAACAATAACTTTGCACGTGCATCACGCTTTTTGTACATTTCTTTGCCGTGATAGCACGACTACAGCGTGAAATTAAAGTGCCTAATTTCACGTTTTGTCAAGGACGGGAACACAAGACAACGACTTTCTTTTTCAATTTCTGAACTTTGATACAGTCCTTTAGAATTCAACTCCAAAAAAATTTGCCAACATTTGACGAGTTAAACGAGATGGAATAAGCGCGATAAAGTTTGAGGCAGCGCAAATTCACTTTTTAAGTGACGTTTTTATAGCCGTCGCCCTCGTTGTTGCTTTTAAAGCTTCCTAATATTTTAAAACACTTAATGACTGGTCCCGAGGGAAACAGTTAATTTTGTTTCCCGATAATTCAATGTTTCCCGAGGAGGAGCCGATTTGTTATATAGCCCACGAAGAAGTTTGAATTGTGGCAAAATAGCTTTTTGGGTACGTAGTTATTGGCAACTTAGTTCAACTTTATTTGCACTATTCAAATGAATTATTCTTACGCATACAGAATGTATAGTTGTGCTATTCAAATATTAATAAATGAAAAATCTAGAGAGGATGTGCACAGTGGCCAAAGGAGACGAGGCTTTCGAGTTGGCCATTGTCATGTTTGAAATACAATCAGAAAAAAAAAAATTTATATTCGTTAAGATTAACAGCCACATTATTAACATAATCTACACTACAGTAAATATTGTGCTAACTGAAGCATAGCTTAACCTGGGCGCTCATTCACGCGCCCACGCACAATAAACAGAGGTCATTCTGTGACATCTACTAATTACTGATTGGAAAGAAGAAATGTTTTATATTGCTTTCTAAAAGCAGGTTCAGTAAGGGACTTTAAGTGTGCTGGGACACTTTGCCACACTGGAACTGCCTTATATCTAAACATATATTTGCCGTAGTCTGTGCGAATGTTTGTTATATACAAATTTCCTTGGGTAACTTATATAGTTTTATGAGAGTGTATAAAGTCAGAGAACATAGCTGGAGAATTTTGAAAATTTTATGTGTAAATACAGCAGTCTTAAATTTTACAATGTTATCAAAATTGAGAATTTCTAGTAAATACAGTTATTTCGAGAAAGGTTGTCGGAAAAAATGTGCACGCGACAATCCCAAAAAGTAATATGGGATATGGTCAATACACTGTTCCTAATGACTGTAGCTGTCGAACCTACTTTTGTTGCTTTCCTTTAGCAATCGCAAACATAACATCGCAAACATCCCGTGCCATTCTTCCAAATTTCTTTGAAGAACAGTGCACTCAAAACCACCCATAATACCTTTCGGGATTGTCGCGTGCACTTTTTCCGGCAACCTTTCTCGAAATAGCTGTATATAATATGGTGTTGAATGTTCTCTACTGTGAGAAAAAAATATATTGCAATATGGCAATTTAGGCTTAAGTAGGTTCTTAATTAGGTTCATATTTTCGATGAAAGAGATATGATTGCTGATAACCAGAAAAAATGATAAGCCTAACAAACTTATTGCATAATGTTATGAAATGTTATCTATCAGTAATTTCTTGTAATGTAAATTTATAGTCTCGAAGTCAAACTGTGTAGTTAAAATGCTTATCATAATTTAACTGTAACCCAAACAGTTTATAAGAACCTGCTTGATATTTGGCTAAACAGATTGTTATATTTTTGTTTAAAAAAATGGCAAATTTCTGCCAGCAGGTTGTTAAACCACTAGGTTCTTACGAATGGGTTTTTTGCTGTATTGCTCTCCAAAGTTGGATGACAATCTATTAGCAAGTTTTTTTTATGAGTAGATCAAGATTATAATTATACCAAAGTGGATGAAAGTGAATTTTGAAACAAGTTATTAGTAAAATCCAACTAGTGGTCTATTATCAATGCTGCGTTCTGATTGGTGGGGCTACCACTAAGCTATATGTTATAGCCCACTAGTAGCGGAAAGTGCCGGCTTTGAAAACCAAAACAATGGCTATTGACTCACTCAGAGCCCATTCGGGCTCGAGGAATAATCGTTAATTAACCAGACTTACGTACCTGTACGTGTTGGACGATTTTTTATTAATTTTAATTATTTTTTGTATTTTAATGTTTGTTACAGTAAAAACCTGCGAGTAAGAACCTACATTTTCGGGAGTTAGCCTAAACAGGTTTTTATTTAAATGGTAGTTAACACAATTTTAGGGCAGTTAGGTTCTTAAATAGGTATAGGTTAGTTAGGTTAAATAGGTTTAAATATTGTTCGCTTACCACTGTACCTCAGTCTGAATAGTATGCTGATTTATTGTTGCGTTTTATTGATGTACAGTATTTCAAAATGCGATACAACAATATTAACCTCTTGCACTTTACTTTATCCTAGCTGGTTGTTCATGAGGAAATGCGAGTGTGGGAAAATGCAGCAATAAGTAAAACATTTATAAAGTTAAAATTCTACACTAAAAGGTTTAATTTTCAACAACTAGACCTCAAAATTGCACAGTCAATATAACAACTAGGATGATGAAATAATAAACAGCACCATGGGAACATCTAGTCATTGACTTCAAATTGCGGGCAACCAGAGGAGCCAGCAATTCTAATCTCCATATTGCTATTGCACGTGTGCGGCAAGTATTTAGCCGGCATGCTAAGAATGAATGGAATGCGTAGAACGCAATCTAAATACAAGCCGTTTGGACTTTCTATCACTCGCATTCTGATCAAGTGTGTTTTTGACCTATCACGTAAAACTTAAGCAAAGCACAGCGTTGGAAAAAGAGCGTTTGAATCGATCTCGCCTACGCTCACTAACCTTTGGTTATTAGTAGTAAATAACAATGTTATTGGCTGGTACAAAATGCCTGTTATATTTTTTCAAAGTTAAGTGCACAGTATAAACTTGACAACCTCATTCCTAGGAACGATATGTTATAATCTTGAATGAGTTATAGTCTGGGAATTTTTAACTACCTCTGAGTTAAAGTGCATATTACACCATCTTGAGGCCTTAATAACATTTTTTCTTTGACTTGGGCTGTTTGGCCAGGAAGGATCTCAAACTTGAATTCTCTGAGGACCCTTGACATTACAACTTTAGCCTCAAATTGAGCTAACGTCTTTCCAATGCAAGTTCTAGGTCCCAGAAAAAATGGAAAATACGCAAATTGCATCGGAGGCACTTTGCCAGATGTGGAAAAGCGATCTGGATCAAAATCCTCTGGAGATTCCCAGAACTCAGGAGAGTTGTGAATATTAAAACAAGAAACACCTACTGGTGTTTTAGCTGGTATTTTGTAACCACCGAAAATGTCTTCCTTTTGGAGAATTCTATGGGCGGAGGCAACTGGAGGATATTTTCGCAGGGCTTCCTTCAGTGTCTGGTCAAGGTATTGAAGTTGGCCAAGATCTTCATACTCAACAGCCTCACGATGACCAAGAACTTCATCCACCTCTTTCAAAATCCTGTCAAGAATTTTTAACAAAACGAATCACTGCCGGAAAACACTGAAAAAGAAGTCCACGGAGTTTATCTGGTATGAACATTTTTCTTATTGTGACAGGAATGGTTGTGGAATCGTTCAGACAGAGAAAAGAGAACAACCAAGAGTCAATTTGGAGGACATGAAATATCTCTCTAGTTTCTAAGTCCTTCTGAGCCCATTGAACGGGGCCTGATTCCGGCAAATTAAGACTATATTCACACTTTATTATATCCATTTTGAAATCACTGGTGATCGCAGCAATCTGATTGGCTCTCAGCAGCGTGATTTATTCACAAATCACACTATTTTTTGCTCTTAATCGCATCTGTTCTAAATCGCGTCAGTTCTGTTTGAAATCGCACCATTTTCGCTTTATATTGTATCATTTCTTTTTCGGATACAAAATGTCATGAAATGTAAAAGCCTATTTGTTTCCGCTTTTCAACAAACGGGCTTCTAGGTCAAATAAATATTCGAATACTGACCGATTCTGCGATTTAAAATGGCTTCAGGACTGGGAACTCTCATGACTACCTCGCGTGTGAATTTACTGCTCATTACGCGTGCAGAAGTGCAGAGATGAATCTGAAATCTGCAACTTGAAACGATTCCATTTTGAATAATAAATTCATTAAAAGAATCTCGGGGGATACGATTGACCTGGCTTGACTGTAACAGTTTACGCCACATACCTTTCTTCAATCCTTGGATGGCGCAGAATTTCGTACAGAGTAAATGAGAGCTGACTAGATGTTGTTTCTTGCCCTATTTGAGTTTAAAATGCAATGCAAATCCAAAGAAATCAGTGAAGGTAAAAAGGTTCTGTTTCAGAACTTTTACATTCATAATACCACATAAATAAATAAAAAAAATCAAGGCAAATCCCAGGGCAGAGGAGGTCTTTTAATGAAAGGCGATAAAGGCATGTTCGTGCAGATTTCTAAAGGGGCTAGTAGGGGCTTAAAACTAAGATTTCGTTGTCAAGAGGGGAATCGCGAGATGTTTTTAGACGTGATAAAACACTTGCTTGAGTGTTTTAAACTTTTTCAAAAACGTCCCGGGGTACTCCGGTCCATTTCATAGCGTATAAATTATATATTCCCGTTTTAAAAGTGTTGATTAAAAAATGTCAAACGGCAACACCCGAAATTACAGAGGTTGTCAAGCCAGTTGTGCAAATACATTGTGAAACTGAGATACACAATTTAAGCGTTTACTTGCCCTAATCAGAACCGTATAAGAGGAAAGGCATTTCTTGAGAAGAGTTTCAAATCCAGCTACAACGCGAAGTAATGGGCATTGATAGTTTCTACGGTATTGCTAACTGGTAAGAATTGTTTAACTCGCCCTTTGCTTGTCTAGAGGATGGCTATTTGTTTGTCTCATTAACATATGCCTTTCATTCTCTGTTCAAGCTATAAGAATAAATTCTCTGAATATTGAAAGAGCATAACAATTTCAGTTATCTTTGAAAATTTGAGCCCTATATACCGAATAGTTTCGGAGAAATTATGTTTGAAAAAATCGAAACTTTTCTTTTAAAGAATGTATGGGCTCATCAACGTTTTTGCCACTCAGCAATTTTTGCAGTTTCGATGGCTGTTATTTCCTTTTTTATTGGTCTTATTGCTTGCAATGAGCTGAAAATTGCTCAAATTTCCTTCTACGGGCTAAGTCGTACGCTAATGAGCAAAAATGTAAACAATGACGTCAGCAAAGATTCGCCTTTTCCAAATATATTACTGATGACCCGCCAGCAATAGCAGGTTAGCAAATTGCTCTGTTGAAATGTCGATGCAAGTCATACTTGCATTTGGTGGTCTGTGAAGGGTACAGATAAAAAATTGATTGGCATTTAATAAATAAATAAATAAATAAATAACGATTCAGCGGTAGCACATTCACTAAATGGTTCTTCGTCTATCAGATTCATGGTCGAATTTGAATTTAGAGATGTAGGTCAGTTTCTGAGGAGAGGGGAAACTGGGGTACCGGAGAAAAACCTCTCGGAGCAAGGAAGAAGACCAACAACAAACTCAACCCACACATGGCGTCGACGCCGGAATTAAAACCCGGGCCACATTGGTGGGAGGCGAGTGCTCTCACCGCTGCGCCACCCTTGCCCCCCAGGAACCTAAACTTCCAACCGTCGCCCGGTTAGCTCAGTTGGATAAGCGCCGGTCTACCGAGCGGGAGGCCGCTGGTTCAAGTCCCGGCCGGACTAACACTCGGGGTCTTTAAATAACTGAGGAGAAAGTGATGCCTTTGTAGAGACATCTGCAAACGTTAGACTTTCTAGTCTTCTCGGATAAGGACGATAAACCCTAGGCCCCGTCTCACGACCCTTGCATATATGAATTCTGTGGGACTTTAAAGAACCCACACACTGTTCGTAAAGAGTAGAGGACGTAGTCCCCGGTGAGGTGGTCTATCTCTCATGGGGGGAGGGACTGTTACGGGCCCGCATGCAGTAATTGGCGTCATGCTGTTGGGGTGACCCTGCCAATAATTGGCGAATCTAATAAAATAAAATAAAGCTGTTGAAAATGGCTGGTTGTTGCAGACATATTCAATGGTTACGCTTGCGGGATGTGAATTTTTAGAAAAACAAACAAACAAACAACACGATGGAACATAAAGTTTTGTTTTTATACCTGCAATAAAGATTGTAAAGAAGTTGTCCACCATGTCATCCATATCAAACTCCGAATCCTCTTGTGCTCCTTTGACGATGTGCTGCAATATATCATTAGGTGTCTCGTCTCCATTGTGTAAAGCCAAGCCCCGCTCTTCGATGACGTTTTTGGCAAAGTAACGAAGATATCTTATAGCTTCAACGACTGAATTTTGAAAGGGAAATGCAGATATCTGGAACATCCAAAATGGATTTTGTAAATTCGCTTGCATTCCTTCCAGTGTTTTTGACACGGCGCTTGGAAATGGCGAGTCTGGATTTCCTACATTGTTCAGATTTATGCCAAAACCAACCTGAAATGAAATATTATTGTTGTTAAACCTCGCCCCATGTAAGGGATTCCGGAATTCGAGAAATTTTTGCTTGTGGAATCCGCCCCGGGGGGTACTCCTGGGAATTCTTAGTGGGAGTGTGCCGCCCCGTTCCTCAAATCCTGACCCGATTTCAGACCAAAAAAAGTAATTTTCCACACCCGTTTTCAAATTGGGTGTCCTGTGGTGAAAGTTGAAAATCTTTATTGCCAATTTTTCTCATGCTTCACCGAACCGATTTTGGCAGATTTTTAGTATGTTGTTAAATAGCCATCCAACAATTAAATGGCGTTGCAAAAAATTCTGTTGCAATTGGTTTGATGCTAAACCATAATTTGACTGCACTAGTGTTGTCTATGTTGAGTATGCTTAGAAGTTTGAAGTAAGGTGCACTACTTTCTCCATTATGGCTAAAAATATGCAGCGTCCATAGTATACACTTATTTTGTTTTGTTTGGACCTTCTACTTTGGTATGTGTTTCCCTAACTCATAATTTAACTCGCTTCTTTCTTGATCTGTTTATGTTCCATCGTCGCTATTCGAACTGCCGAGTTTGGGGGCCATATATATGAAGTTTTACCAAAGAGAAGCTTGTAAAACAACAAAAGTGTTCCATATGCAACAAGCATTTCTCACCACTAAAAATGATGCGATTACCCCAGGAGATCAAGGAAAGCTTGATACGAAGAATAAAGTCGCTTCTGTTGGAAAATCTGATGTTAGGAAAAAAATCTAACCGGCAAACGAAAAAATAAAATTAAAAAAGAATTACAAGCCTAAAGCAAACGACAAAGGAAAAGAAAACAACGCAATTTTTTTTCGAAACCTGGCCGAGGTTATAAAAGAATGAAAATAATACTAAAATAATAAAGACGTGCCGTTGTCCTAGAAAACATTTCAAAGAGCGCAGCGAATCATGGTAAGTTTCAATCGGGTAACAAAAAGCCTCACGGTTACATTTCTGACTAGTCACTAAAGTGAAAACCAGCATACAGTACCTTGCCAATAATGTCGAGGGTGACTCTTGCAAATTCATCCATCATCCTGACAGGCGTTTTACCATCAGCATATTTCCTCAGATTTTCCAGAAAGTCGTCACAAATCGAATTAAAGGCGTCCATCGAATTCATTAAATACTTTCTGTGAAATCCGGGTTCTAACATTACTCGCTTACGACGCCAGACATCGTGATCGATTTCCGTCATAATTCCCTGCCCACCAGCTCGTTGGCCGAACACGCTGCTGAGTTTGGAGTAAAGACGTGGTGATTTGGGCAAATTCAGTGTGATGAGGGCTTTTTTGGCCATGTCAGGGTGAGATACGATAACAACGGGATTAAAAAGCATCCACACAACGTAAACCGATCCGTATTGCCGATACCAGTTCATCAATATGATGGTCATGCCCCCGTTTTCTCCATCTCTCTTCATTTCTTGTCGAATAAAAGGGACATTGCCAGTGAAAAAGCCATCTCTTGGAGGCCCTGGAATGTGCGCGTAACGCAAATGCTGATGATGGACATACAAAGCGAACGACAAAAATCCAAGGAGAAGAAAAAAAATCAGGGGTAACGTCCAGTAAATCAACGTTAGAACCATTTCAACTGAGATTTGCTGAAGATGAATATGCTTAACTTCCCAAGGCGAGTAATTGAAAATCGTGTGCCATATCAGATGAACAAATACAGCTGCAATATCGTATTGGCATCCTCTTGATTTAAATGATTTAATGTTTTCTTACTAGGAAAATCGTCAAGAATCGTCCATTGTAGCAATACGCGTTCCTCTAAAGTCTTTGTCAACGGATATTACAAAAACACACCTCAAATTAATGCGTTAAAAAGAGCGGTTGAAAATCAGTAGAAAAACTCCTCATTTCTGCATCCTTGATTTTCTCTTTCTTAAATCAGTTCAGTTGTTCGAGAAGTAATATTAAACATTCCAGGCAGTTGTTCACCACAATATCAAACACCTCGGAGTTCGTCAAAAATACATCGTTGTGCATGTTATTTTCAACGCTCTGGTCGGTGTTACTGTCAAACAGACAAAATCGTGAACACTTGCAATGTTTCAGCAATGTTTATTACTTATAACAATTGACCACTCCAGAAAATGAAAAAACATACCATAATGCTCTTTGTTTGTCACCCCAAAATTTTGCATAAGCATTGTCTTCATTTTCTCTTGGGAGTTAAAATGGCCCCAAGAGAAACTGAAAACAATGCTTATGCAAAATTTTGGGGTGACAACAAATAGCATTATGGTATGTTATGGTATTTTCTGGAGTGGTCAATATCACACGTTCCAATATTAAAATTCTAAAATGACTCCGACGCTTCTGGTCATTTTCCTATATTTGGTTTGGTTTCCTTTGTGCTCAAGTCTCTTCTGGGAATTGCAAGACGATGGAGTGGTCAAAAATTTGCAATTTTCACGGAGTCATGTTAGAATAATTTTAATATACAGCTAAATCAAAAAAGGTTGCTTTGGTAACTGTTCATTGGTAATTAGGCATTTGGGCATGTGAAACAGTGCAATGAGTTACTTGAATGGGTGACTACCAAACAATAGCTTCCCAATACCCAATTGACCACTCCAGAAAATACCATGACATACCATAATACTCTTTATTTGTTACCCCCAAAATTGAATAAGCATTGTTTTCAGTTTCTCTTGGGGCCATTTTAACTCCCAAGAGAAACTGAAGACAATGCTTATTCAAATTATTCAATACCCAAAGCAACCTTTATTGAATCAGCTTTCTCAAACTGATTAATAATTCATAAAGAAAATACAAAGGAAATTAATGTTTAATGAGTGTTTGGAAATCGGATGAAAAACTTCTCAGTTTTGCATCCTTAATTTCTCCTTCTAAAATCAATTTGTTTGAGAAGTAGTATCAAGCATTCGACACTGTGTTTCATCACCAGATGAAACACCTCGAAGTTCGTCAAAAATACTCCGCTGCGCGTCGTATTTTCAACTCTCTTTCAGTGTTTCACCTGGTGATGAAACACTCTGTCTCATGCTTGATATATTACATATCGAACGTGGGGTATTAGTTCATGCGTCAGCGTGCGTGCGCGGGAAGTTTGAAGAGCACGAAAGAGCCGGAAGAGTTGCGCCTCGAGCAACTCTAACCTCTTGAGTGCTCTCCAAACTTCCCAAGTACTCAATATCTCGACATGCGCACAGCTGAAGCATGAACTACATTGTTTTATAACATTATCAAAGCGGTCAATGCAGAAGTTAACTTAAATTTTTATTATTTTAGCGCGTGCTCAAAGCAGTACGCGTCAATGTCTACGTGACAATATTTTTTTTTGCCTAGACTGCAAAACAGTCCGTATTTTTGCGTATTCAAGTACGCGCGAACAGTTAAACAAAAGGAGAGACGAAATATAGCGTTTGGGACTTCAAAAATGCCCAGACTAGCACAAATCTTCGAACAGTCAAGCGGTATGAGGCAGGTATGTGTATCTTTTTTCTTTTCTGATCATTGTATAAAACAAATAGATTCCATGTTGCCGTGGATCTGTTCAGTAATAGATCACAGAGGACGTCAAAATGTGGTGAAAACATCAGTGACAACACTCTTTGTTTTCAACACATTTTGACGTCATCTGTGATCTATTACTGAACAGACGCACGGCAACATGGGATCTATTTGTTAAATGATGCACGATCGCGCTATTGAATTTGATTAGGTGAATATTCTAGCTATGTCATAATGTGTTGTGACCAATCACAACAAAGAACAGGACACGCGACCAAGCCACAAATTAATGAAGGTTCTTGCTTGAGGTTTAGTTTTCTCAGTGCCTGATTGGCTGTTTCCTTGCAACGCAATAACATTCCAGAAATATCTCTGGTGTTCACGGTTATATCGGTTTGACAGAACCAATGTCTCATGTTTGACATATTACACCCTTACTTGTTATTAATGAGAAATTATGAGTTAGGGTGGATTTCCACTGTTGCGTAAATTTTACATGCATACGTAGGTGAATTTTGCACGCATAAATAAGATAGAGGCAGTGTATGAAGTGTCGTGCGTTACGTGAAATTTAAGCCAGGTTCAACTTTTATGTTAACGTGCGACCCACTATACGTAGCCTCTAATTTATTACTCGCACAAAATTAACGTGCGCACGCCCGTAAAATTTACGCAACGGTGGAAATCCACCTTCAGAAATAAAGAATCTGCTTGCAAAACTTTTACAAAGTTAACAATCTGTGCTATAAGGAATAATTTTCAAAACCTGGACCTCAAACTTACACACTTAATATAACATGAGAACATGTAGTCATGGTCATTGGCTTACAATTTTAAATAATAAAGTTACTAATTGATACAAAATACCTGGTACATTTTTTAAATGCACAGTCGTGCAGAGTATAATCTTGACAAATTTGTTCCCCGGCGTTCCCAAGAAGAAAAGAGACCTTACCCTGGAAACGATATTTTGTCATCTTGACTGAATTGTAGCATGGCAATCGTCAACTACCTCTGCGTGAAAGTACACATTACACCATCTCGAGGCTTTAATGTTAAATTTTCTTCGACTTGGTCTGTTTGGCCAGGAAGGATCTCGAACTTGAATTCTCTGAGGAGCCTTGCCATTAAAACCTTTGCCTCAAACTGAGCTAACGTCTTTCCAATACAACTTCTAGGACCCAGGGAGAATGGAAAAAACACAAACTGTGATATAGCATCTTTACGAGATGGGGAAAAGCGATCTGGATCAAAATCATCTGGAGATTCCCAGAATTCAGGAGACTTTTGGACATTATAACTTGAAACAACTACTGGAGTTTTGGCTGGTATTTTGTAATCTCCAAAAACGTCTTCCTTTTGAAGAATTCTTTGAGTCCCACCAACGGGAGGATGCTTACGTAGGGCTTCTTTCAGTGTCTGGTCAAGGTATTGCAGCTGGCCAAGATCTTCATACTCCACAGTCTCACGATGACCAAGAACTTTATCCACCTCTTTCAAAATCCTGGCAAGAAATTTCAACAAGACAAATCAAATGCAAACACTGAAAATAGAGTCAGGGGAGTTAATTTTGGTACATACCGTAAAATTCCGAAAATAAGCCCCTCCACGTATAAACCCCTCCAAATATAAGGCCCCTAAAACGGTAATGCAAAAAACCCTCCGTTAAATCACCCCTTCAAATATAAGCCCCACGGGGGCTTGTACTTGGAAAATTGCCATCAAATACAAAGCAAGACAAAGCAAAAACAGTAAATTTACCTTCAACTATAAGGCTAGCCCAATCGATTTTGAACGGCAAATTTCTTTCTGTAGATAAGCCCCTCCACAAATAAGCCCCTCAAAAAGGGACTTTGAAAAATACAAGCCCCAGGGGTTATTTTCGGAATTTTACGGTAAATAGTTGGCTTGCCCTTTAGTTGGCTTGTTTAGCTCAAAGGATAGAGCATTGCACCTGGTATCGCAAAGTCAGGGCTCAATTCCTGGTCAAGCCTGAATGTTTCAGGTTCTTTTTCACCGCCTAGACATTTCATTCTGCTGCGAAGATCATGTTCATGTTTAAAGTTATTTGATTTGTTACAAAAATTCTTGTTGAACAGTTCTACGAGGCTGTGCTCTAGTTGAACACACTTTCAATAAAACACAAATTCAAATTTAATATTCGTACATCATTGCTTGATATATTGGAGGTTGGCGATACTTATTATTAAATAGATGAAATCATTCTTAAAATGAAGAAAGCAAAACCAATTTTTTTGTAATGGCCTGCCTATAAAAACAGCGACGGAATGTTTTGTTTTTCCTTTCCTCCTTAGAGTTTTAAATGCATCTATTTCATATGCTTTTCTTCATAAGATTGTAAATTTTTGCAATATTAGTCACTCAATCGCTCCGTATTTATTTGAAAACGGATGAATCTCCCTTGCTTTTTAACCTTAATTTTATTGCAGTTATTTTCTTTTCATATTATTCCTGGCCCGCCTAGACAAGCTATAGCTATTTGCGGCGCTAGGACACTTGTAAAAAAATTCTTTAGAAAATTTATTATAAAGTCTTGAAGTCTGGTGCCTTACTTTTGCCTATGGGTGATCATGAAATCTTAGTTTTTTAATAGGGATCTTGCGCACCCAAGATTTCACATGTTCAGAGCACTGGGCTCCCTTCAATTTTTCTTAGCCGGAGCACAGGCTTGAGTTCAAAAGAAAATGAAAAGGGTATGGTTTTCAAGCAGTTTACTCTAGGATAGGGTATATAAGTCACAGCGTTTGGGTCTAAAATAGGGTATCATTTTTGAGGAAACTGATCAGTTGGTTGAAGATTTTATCTAGACTAGGGAAAAAGCTACTGTAGGATAGGGGGATTTGGGGAGTTTACTCTAGTATAGGGTAGGAGCGCTCTTTCGAGCTGCCTTAGTAGCCTAGCAAAATTCAGCTGAACTAGCTCTGGTATAGGTTAAGGGTTCCAGGGTCCCAGCGGCACATCCCCACCCAGAAATTCCTAAAGTAACCCCCCCCCCTTGGGGGATAACAACAAAACAAAGTCCAACATGTGCTTGCAGAAATGAAAAAACCTTAGGGGGCTACATTAGCATAGCCGAACTTTTTCAATATCATAATTATTTGTAGTTGTACATATTATTGTTAAAAACAGAATCATTGGATAATGCAATTCTAGAACTCTGACTGGCTTAGCCATCATGATGTATGAGCCGTTATATCATGCTCTCCAAATATGGTAACCGTATGCGTGTGCTCAAAATTAAATACAAGCTGAAAATCGGTTGTTTTTACAAATAAATTAAAGTTGGGAAGAATTCTTGATATTTTGTGGGCATTTTTAATAAAACAATTATTACACTCACGCTTGTTGGATATGAGTTGATTAGCCAGTGCCTCATTGGCTACCTACCATCCCATATTTAATGCACACTCATGGAATAATTGTTAATTAGATGATTATTGACTTTATATTTTTTACACCAAACCTTAAAAAATCAATAGGTTATGCCACATACCTTTCTTCAATCATTGGTTGCTTTAGAATTTCATACAGAGTAAATGAGAGCTGGTTTGATGTTGTTTCTTGCCCTATTAGAGTTTTAAATGAAATAAAGAAATCATATTTAGGAAACAAAGTAACAGAAAGGGGTCTTGGACATCCCATCAGGGAGGTCTCACCAAAGGTGCATTCATGTAGCTAAAAACTGGACCTTCTGAGAGCATAAAAGCAGAGGACACCCTTACAGGGAGGTCTGAAATCTAGGGTGCGTAACATATAAGGGCCTGTTTAATTGGGGTGAGCCAGCCCAGTTAGCTGGGCTGTTTCACTTTACCAGGCTGGCTCAGCTCACAACTTGTCTCCTCATAAACTTTCCATTGTGTCTATTTGAGATCAGAGGTGAGCTGGCACACTTGCCGAGATCGATATCTCCGTTGCTTGGCCAAGATCTTGGTGAGCGTGCCAGCCCACATTCTCACAAAAACACAATGAACTGCTATGAGGAAGAAACACAAGGGCCTGGCTAGCCTGATAAAGCAGGCAGCATGGCTAACTGGGTGACTCATCGCATATGAGGATAGGTGTAAAATTCTTAAATGGAACTCTTTAGAACAAAGGAGAGAATTCCTATCTCTAATCTGGTGGGGTGCTGTAAGATCGTATTCAATATGAATGGTCTAAACTTCAGTGATTATTTTAAACTGTGCAAGAGCACTAAGACGAGATCCAACCATCAATATAAGATACAATATAAGATACAATTAAACTGTTATAAATATTCCTTCTTTGTTAAGATAATCACGTTTTGGAACGATCTTCCAAGTAACGTAATCAATTGTCACAACAGTCCCAACATCAACAAGTTTAAACTGAGATTGAAAAAACACATGAATATTTATTGAATGTACATTCCATACTTGGTTAAAGATGTTTCTGTGATTTTTATAAATATATTTTTATTAACTTGCTTTTATATAAATAAATGTACATATTTTTATTGCTATATTAATATACATATTTGTTTGTTCTTAGGAGATCCTTGATAGGGTTGAACTCTGGGTTCCCTTTTTCTTAATAACTGCACTTGTTTGTAACAATGCTTGCTATTTTGAAATAGAGTATTGTATATATACAAAATAAACCCTAACAGGTGTTCATAAGCTAAGATTTTATTATGGCTTCACCCGATCGCCCCTGGGAATTTTGCTTAAAATGAGACGAGAGATACAAGGGACATGGATCCACATGGGTAGTTACAAGTCGTCTCCCCCACAGACATTCTTAGGGGTTCGTTATGTGCTCTTGGGGGGCAGGAACATGTGATGAACCCTTAAGAATGTATGTGCAGGGGGGCTAGGTTACAAGTGGTTGAGGGGTGAATGGGTTATGGAGGCTGCAAAAGTACAGCAACCTTAAAAATAAACAAAGCTCCCTGTTCTAGAAAGAAAGAATAAAAAAACAAACAAAATACAAAACTGCATTATATATTCATACCTGCAATAAAAATTGTCAAGAAATTGTCCACCAAGTCATCCATATTGATCTCAGAGTTCTCTTGTGCTTCTTTGACAATATGTTCCAATATATCACTTGGTGTCTCATCCCTATTTTGTAAAGCCAAACATCGCTCTTTGATGACATTCTTGGCAAAGACGCGAAGGTATTTTATAGCGTCGATGACAGAATTTTGAAAGGGAAATGCAGATATCTGGAACATCCAAAATGGATTTTGTAAATTCGCTTGCATTCCTTCCAGTGTTTTTGACACAGCACTTGGAAATGCCGAGTCTGGATTTCCTATAATGTTCAGATTGATGCCAAAACCAACCTGAAATGAAATGCCATAGAAAGTGTCTGTATTAATGGGGTGTCCCAACCTCCATTCCCACGCTCCTCTCCCAGACCCTGGGAACAAGGTTGGGGGCGTCAGTATTAAGAGGGTTACTTTGTTAAAGCAAAACAACTCCTTTTATTAGAACAAAATGCTAAAGAAATGAAAGAGAACTTAAGCATTGTCGAATTAAACATCTCTAACCTTTACAAAGCTGTAATTCCGTGGACTAAATCCACAGAAGCGCTCAAAAATCGCTCATCTATATATTAATTAATTAATCAAAATGTTCTCCGCATAATTTGTTTGATGTCAAAAGTAGTCTAAAAATTGACGTCTACATATCATCCTATCTGGTGTACAGTAGCGCCCAGAACATTGACATGCTGTCAACTGAAAGATTTTTTACCTTCAAGAAGGAAAGGTTTATTACAACATATAGTTGATAGTGAAGTGTTCACATAAGCAAGGTTGACTTTCTATGAGAATCTGTTGATTGGGCAAGAAGCAAGTGTCCATGGTCTGCATTAATGGGTGTCCGTATTAAGTGGGTTGAATTAAGAGAATTGTATGGGCTTTCCCCAGGGACAATGAAAACGGTCTGAAATGATGGCGTGTTGACGTATTAAGTGGGTGTCGGTAAAGCAGGGTTTGACTGTATTCTCTTTGTTCTGATATTCTTGTAAATATTTGTTGCCAGCAGAAGCGGAAGAATAGACCAATCACATCCCATCACCGTACTTGTTTCCATGAATGTTATTGACTCTTTCTTTTATCTCTGATCACATCATCAACAATCCAGTGCTCATCTGATTGACACAGGTTAATTGCCGATCTAATCAGAGCCAAGGAGCCTGGGCCTGATTCTATGGATAGGAGCAAGGTCTAGCTCACAAGCAACCATTTCGAAAGCCAATTATGTAACTTACCTTTTTATTTTTTAAAAACCCTTTGGTTTTCAAAGTTTGAACTTCAAAACTTGGGGTTATACCCCGTGTTTACGGTAAGCTGTTCTTTGCTTTTGCTGTGTTTACTGTAAGCTGTTCTTCGTTTCGCCTTAGACTTCGATACTTTTGTTTTACCGGTGATTTTGTCATAGGTTTCAGTGTAGTATTTTTTCTTTAGCCGACTGTCGGTAAACTGTCGGTGATCTGTCGGTGGTCTGTCGGTGACCTGTCGGTAAACTGTTGGTTATCTGTCGGCCGACAGTTGGCCGACAGTCAGTGGAGGTGAGCTGTTCTTCGCTTTTACCCTTAGTTTTAGGCCAAACTGATGTCCACGGGGCTGAGAAAAACTATTTTGAAGGATAGGCCTCCTGTTATCTCAGGTTGTGGGTTTATGGACCCCCAATTACTTGAAGAGATCGCACACAGGTATAAAAATGTTTTGTGTGAATATGTACATGCTACTTGTACTTTAAATCATTGTAACAGCACTGCAGTCTAATTCTAGATTCAGCTGCATATTGTATAAAGCAACACTGAGTCATTATGCAAAATACCAGACTCTGCTGGCCTCTGTTGGCTCAATTTACACCAGACTGAAATGCTGTAGTTTTTGATAGTGATAACTCCAACATTGTTTTAGAAATCTGAAAACTTTGTTTCAGTGGAAAGGTAACACCCAGTCCACAAGAATCCGGATATCTCATATTTGAAACTGCACATTATTTTACATGAATAATTGGCCATCCATCCACATGAACCAGTGAAAAATATGACATTCTGCTGACCAAAAGCCCATCTTTTTTAAGGGCATGTTTAAAACACGAAATGGCAAAATGACTTTCCTAAACAGTAAAAACAGATGACTCTCTGTTTTTTTGTCGTGTCTAGTATGCTGTTATTTCTTTGCCTTTTATGAACCAGCAAAACTTTGCTCAGCCATGCAAAACCTCACTAATGTTGCTGTGCCATCACAGTTGTCAGTTTCTTGTTCGTAAATTATTGCAGTCACGTGATCTTTCTGCATTGTTTAGTACAAAGGACAAAATGCATGTCGTCTTGTTTTAAAGCCATTTATTGGCAATTGCAATAGGGCAAATTTCACGTTATAGTTATTGCTTTCGAATACTTGGACACTGCAAACAAAGTTTATCAACTGTGAAAGGTTTGAACCCAGGAGTCATTTCAAAAGTAGGTTGAGTTTGATCGTCCGGGTGAACGTAGTCCTGAATAGGACTGTTGTTGTTGACAGTGACTGACGTTTCAACAACCTATGCGGTAGTCATCTTCAGAGTCAAAGTGAGTTGTATCATGTCATGATCAGTTGATGGTATTACACTCTGGTTATTGATCTGATTGGTCAATTATGTCGCGATGTTATTGGTCGTCTGTCAGTTAATAAGCTGTGATGTTATTGGCTATGAAGACTCGTAATCAGTAATTGGTGCGTTTCGATCTGTCTATTGTCACAGTTAAACAGTTGTCTACTGTTAGTCAAGTTGTCAGTTCTCCAGTCGTTCTCACGTAGTTAGTTTTCCTTGATCTCGTCAATAAGTTGTTTGTACGGCGCTGGTAACTGTTGGCTATGATTCAGTGGCGTTTGTTCTAAGTTAGTAAACCAGCTTTCTAAAGTAAGACGTTGATAGTATAGTCTGTAGAATACGTTATACATGTCACAGAGTCCCAGACAATTTGAAAGTTTATCAAGCAAATCAGATCAATTGTGCAGGTAATACCATGTTTATAATTACCCTGTCTATATTTGCACTTGTAGAACTCTTAGCAACTTTTTTTTTACTTAAGACTTTTTAGTTCTCCATCCTCACATATGTAAAAGTTGACTGCAGCTTAGCTTTGTAATATGCAAATTTCCCCATGGAAGTGCTATTTTCAGCACGTGTGATGAGCTTGTATGTGCACAACACTCAAGCTCTGCGTGACAACAATCTCGTCACCAGAAACTTCATATCTTATGGCTGCGCAATAGTGTAGAGCTCAGGTTGAGAATGTACGTAACAACTCCATCTAAATAATTTTAGTCATTTCACCATTTCGTCATTTCGCTATTTCATCTTATAAACAAGCCCAAGCCCCTTCTTTAAACTGCTCCTCAGAGTGGTTTAAGGCCCTGTCCACACAAATTTGGGGTGTGAAGATATGTAGTTTCAAAAATGTTGGGATTTGTGTGGACACGGCCTAAGTCTATGGTTGGAAGATCAATATCAATATTAGTGATGTAACATAATTATTGCTGTTACATTTCTGACTAGTCACTAAACGTGAAAACCAGCATACAGTACCTTGCCAATAATGTCAAGAGTAACCCTTCCAAATTCATTCACCATCCTGACAGGCGTTTTACCATCGGCATATTTCCTCAGATTTTCGAGAAAATCGTCACAAATGGAATTAAAAGCGTCCATCAAGTTCATTAAATACCTTCTGTGAAATGCTGGGTTTAACATTGCTCGCTTACGACGCCAGACTTCGTGATCGACTTCCGTCAAAATCCCCTGCCCAGAAGCCCGGTGGCCAAACACGTTACTCAGCTTGGAGTAGACACGCTCTGCTTTGGGCAAATTCAGTGTGATGAGGGCTTTTTTGGCCATGTCTGGGTCAGACAAAATGACAACGGGAATAAAATAAATCCAAGTAACGTAAACCGATCCGTATTGCCGATACCAGTTCATCCATATAATGGTCATTCCTTTATCTTGAGCTCTCCTTTTTTCTCGCCGAATAGACGGGATATTGCCGGTAAAAAAGCTATCTCTTGGAGGCCCAGGGATGTGGGCGTAACGCAAATGCTGATGGTGGACATGCAAAACAAACGACAAGAATCCAAGGAAAAGAAGGAGAATCAGGAATAACGCAGAGTACGTTAACAATGTTAAAGCCATTGCAACTGACCCTTGAAATGATTGCTAAATTCCCTAAGAGAAGTCATGGAGAAAATTAAATGGATACGTGACAACGAAACAGGTCACCATTACGTTAGGGCCATATATGAAGTACCTGCTCACCGAAGTATAACAATCGCGGGCTCAATAACAAAATCGTCGGTTTGTTCACTTAAGAAAGCAGTCAAAAATAGGGTACAATACCATGGGGAACGTTGTAATAGAGGGCAATTCATAGCACTGTGGAATACCACGTTTTAAAATTGTATATAATCGACTCTCTAGGAACCACAAACTATTTTATCACGCATTACACGAAAAAACCTAAAATATTTAGTGATATGAGCTGTTCGTTTAGTTTCTGAATGGTGATTTTGCAGTATTTCGTATCCGTGGTGTAGTTAATGTGCAAATCTGTCACCGAACCACCATGGTGCAGCAATGGCTAAAATCATTCTCCCGTTACCAATCTGGATTTATCCTTTAGAATTGCCTCTTGGTCCCATTGTTTTTATCAGAAAGTGGTTTTGGGCCGGGTTTATGGATGAATGAGACCATTGGCCGTAGACCTTACTTGATCCATCTTACTTGGAGTGGTCTCAAAAGTTAATGTCCTAAGGCAGGCTTGACCTTCGTTCATGTAATCTACTTTTTATCGCATCAAGGCTTAATGCCAAGTCTGATAGTTTAATTTCATGGCATCGAGAACCTGGTGCCACAGCTGTTGATGCTTTCAGTATTACCTAGGCTAATTTTAATTGTTACGCTTTTCCTCAGTTTTAGTCAGCCGTCTCGACTTTCGGCCAAAGAAAAAGGTAACCAAAACGTGTCCTAAGCCGTCTTCGCCATCTCTGTACGGTTTTATTTGTAGTCACTCGTAAGAAAGCCACTGATGTTATAAAGACTCCTTCTACTCACTGCGCCGCCTTATTAACGCCTGTTGGCTCGGATCTCAATGACGGAATAAAAATAAAACAGCGCTGTCACCTACTTAGGCAGCAGAATGAAGTGAAATGCCCATAGTAACTTAGTAGATGTCATGGATGGAGTCTTTCCTTCAAAAGAACCTTTTTCAAATAATGAATATCTGATTTTGGGTGCAAACTTGAGATTTTCTTGCCGTTCGCAAACTGAACAAAACAACTTTTCCAATGGCTATATGAAGCCAAACAAGGACGTCTTACCTTCTCGTTTTATGTGATAAAAAGGTTCACGCAAATGTTTGTAAAAGTTCTGAAAGTTAATCAAAAAATGAAAAATAAAAGGGTGTTGGAATCTTATTTTAATCTTTTTTACTACCAGTTATCATCTTCGGCCGGACTTACTCTTCTCCGAAGCCACCCCTCTTCTATGAAGGGTGTTTTGAATTTTGTTATCACCGATGCAATCGATAGTCAGTTCTGTTAAAGCTCTTTAGAAAGCTAAACTCCGGCGGTGAACAGGTTTCCAAAACGTTAGTTGTGCTTAATTATTGACTTAAACCTACTCTATCATGTCAAAAATAGATTTTCTTTCAAAAAAACACTTTTTTGAAAGACATGAACTTTTAATACTAACAAAATGAGACATGCTATAATTCTTCGAAAAGAAAATGGGTCCTGCTTAAGTCGAATCGGCCTACAATATTGCCTGTAATCAAATTGATAAAATACAATTTAATTTCCTTTTAGTGATGTTGGAAAGATTGTCGACCCTTTATTTTTTTACGGCACGATTTTAAGTGGGCACCAAGGTCACACATGTACAAGATGATTCTTAAGTTAAAAAAGCTGACAAACATTGTTTTAAAGAATGATACAAAGAATTGTAAAAGAGGGTAAAAACGAGATTCACCTTGTGCAGATTTACCTGATCGGGATTCGGGATCGGCACCTGATCACAGTAGTATCCCGTAATAAAGAGGCTAAGTTTATATGAAATTACTCTCTGGGGCCGAGATTTCGTGTCCGTTGTCCGTATTAGAGAGAGTCGGTATTATGGAGGGTTTTTTTAAAGAAAATATATGGGAATTTCTCGGGACATTGGAAACTGTCCGTAATAGAGAGGAGTCCGTATTAGAGAGGTGTCCGTACCGAGAGGTTCGACTGTATTCTTTTCTACCACTAATTATCATGTGAAAGGTTTAAATCCAGGAGTCATTTCAAAAGTAGGTTAGTTTCATCGTCCGAGTAAATGTAGTCCTGAATAGAACTGTTGTTGTTGACATTGACTAATGTTTCGAAAACCTGTGCGGTCATCTTCAGATAGAGTCATGGCAAGTTGTATCACGTCAGTTGATGGTATTATACTCTGGTTATAGAGAAAAACTCTGGTGGTAGAAAGGTTACTTTCCAAAATGTCAGTTTTCTTAATCATTGACCTCAAAATACTCGGTCATTTCAAAAAAAATTTTCTTTTAAGAGAAAACCGTTTTTAAAGGCATCATTTTTTGACACTTTCAAACTGCGACATGCTATAATTCGTCGCTAGTACTCTCTAGGGTGGATCCCGCTTTAGTCAAAGCGGCGTATAATGTTGCTTGTCCTCAAGCTAACGGAAACACTTTAGTAACTTTATGCTGTGCTAATGATGTTGAAAAGAGTGTGGACCCGTTTACCACGGCTTTCAGCGGATACCTAGGTCACGCATGTAAAAGATAACTGTTAAGTTGTAGAAACAAATACGAGCTAAAAAATAAAGTTCTAAAGAATAATACAATGAATGCTAACCTGAGAATAGTATGATGAATGGTAAGAGAGGGTCAAAAATGTTACTCTACGTACCGCGCCAAGAAAAGCCTTTCCCCTTAATAAAAAAGGAGTTTTAAAGGAAATAGATCTTTCACAGTTTAGCCTAAAAAACTGCTACATTTGAATGCCTGAATAAGGTCAATTCTCGTCGAAATATGTTTTTTATGAAAATCGAGAAGATAGCTTTGTAAGCAGCTCGAACGTTTAAATCGTTGTTGTCAAAGGAAGCAGAACGTTCAACAGACAGTCACTATTCTTTTCTACCACCGAGTATCATCTTTGGGCCTTATTCTTTCCCGAAGCCACCCTTCTTGGTGTATAAAGTTTTCATTTAAATTTACTCCAAGCTTACAGAAAGGTAAACATCGGTGGTGATTAGGTATCAAAATCGTTAGTTTTTCTTTTTATCGGTATATTTCTTTTCACAGTTCCAGTCCTGGAAAGAATGTCCACACACCCACGTCACCGTTATATATGCGGATAAAAACTACACGCATCAAAGCAAGTTCAACTTCTTTTACCTTGTAATAACAAATAAACTAAGATATGGATTGATTCACACAGAATAATTCAATGAAAGGAGAAGGAGGATCATAAACGAGGTTCTACTAACCACGTCCATTGAAAAGCCTTTTCCGTTATTAGTAACAAATTTAAATGGGTTATTTTCAAAGATTTCGCTAAGAATTCACCAAACGTATACAAGAGAGAAATGCTTCTCCCAACACGGTTTTTCAGAAAATGGAGGAGTTCAGATGTTTGACTCGTTGAAACGGTTTGAGTAGAATAGAAAAACAGCATTTAGCCGAATGTTCTATTTTACCACTAGTTATCATCTTTGACCGTTAGTATTCTTCTCTGAAGGAAACCGTCTTTGTCTATCAAGAATTTTTGTCTATTCTCAACCATGCAATCAACAGTATTTCTGTTAAAGATAACAGAAAACTAAAAACTGGTGGTGAATAGGTTACTTTCCAAACTTTTTCATTTTCAAACTGTTAATTTTCTTAATCATTGACTTCAAAATACTCGGTCATGTCGAAAAAAGAAATTTTTTCCAGAGAACACCATTTTAAAAGGCATCATTTTTTGATACTTTCAAACTGCGACATGCTATAATTCGTCGCTAGTACTCTCTAGGTTGGATCCTGCTTTAGTCAAATATTGCTGTCCTTAACTTAACGGAGACACTTTGATTTCCCTTTATGCTGTGCTATTGATGTTGAAAAGAGTGTGGACCCGTTTACCACAGTTTTCAGCTGATGCCAAGGTCACGCATGCCCAAAATATCTCTTCCGTTATAGCAACAAATAAGCTCAAAACTAAAGTTCTAAAGAATATACAATGAATGGTAAAAACTTGAGAGTAATTTGATGAATGGTAAAATAGCGTAAAAAAGGTGACTCTACGTACCGCGCGCAACGAAAAGCCTTTAAAATTAATTAAAAAAGGAGTTTTAAAGGAAATTGACCTTTCACAGTTTAGCCTAAAAAATTGCTACATTTGAATGCCTGAATAAGGTCAATTCTCGTCGAAATATGCTTTTTATGAAAATCGAGAAGATAGCTTTGTAAGCAGCTCGAACGTTTAAATCGTTGTTGTCAAAGGAAGCAGAACGTTCAACAGACAGTCACTATTCTTTTCTACCACCGAGTATCATCTTTGGGCCTTATTCTTTCCCGAAGCCACCCTTCTTGGTGTATAAAGTTTTCATTTAAATTTACTCCAAGCTTACAGAAAGGTAAACATCGGTGGTGATTAGGTATCAAAATCGTTAGTTTTTCTTTTTATCGGTACATTTCTTTTCGCAGTTTCCAATCCTGGAAAGAATGTCCACACACCCTCGTCACCGTTATATATGCGGATAAAAAGTACACGCACCAAAGCAAGGTCAACTTCTATTATAGCGAATAATCCAAAGATGGTCCACGGTTCCAACTCGTCTTTATTACAGTTATAACGAATTACGATTACGGTTGCTGAAAGTGAAACCAAAAATACAAATTTCTAAGGAATACAAATGACAGCTATGAAAGGACGAAAATGCAGGAAACGGAAAGAAACCAAGCGTTGTGTGACTAGAAAGTTGAACGGAAAAAAGTACGATGGCTAACAAGACTGGACGAAAAAAACTGCAATGATGTTGCCGTGAACGCTAAAGCGAAATGAATGAGAATAAACGATGAAACTTACAAAATGATCTAAGAACAAAGAAAGTTATGCAGAGAAATCTAACAGAATATGAATAGCGATAACTGAAAAGAATGTGAA